TGACGTCTCAAGGTGCAAATGTGGTCTATGAGACCTGCCTCCGACACCCAGCCGTTGGGCCCCGACCAAAAACTATCAACAAAGCCGGTAGGGTGGAGGGCTTCTGATCCATTCCAAACAGGGATACCTCATTAACGTCGGTATTATGCTGGGTGCAGTACATACATACATGCTACGTACCAACTGGACAATCTGTTGTTGGGTCACGGCCTCTACCAGACCAGCAGACTCAGTACTGGTATTATGTTGGGTGCAGTACATACATACTATATACGTACCAACTGGACAATCTGTTGGTGGGTCACGGCCTCTACCAGACCAGCAGACTCAGTACTGGTATTATGTTGGGTGCAGTACATACATACTATATACGTACCAACTGGACAATCTGTTGGTGGGTCACGGCCTCTACCAGACCAGCAGACTCAGTACTGGTATTATGCTGGGTGCAGTACATACATACATGCTACGTACCAACTGGACAATCTGTTGTTGGGTCACGGCCTCTACCAGACCAGCAGACTCGGTACTGGGCTGGACAATGTCCCCACACACATACCTTCACACACACATGAGGAGAGAGAATGTCTGTGACATCTTTATGCAATGTGATTATACTGGCATACTAATCTTTTGTGGACAACTTATTAAATTTGGCATTCACATTATTTTGATGGTTCAAAATTTCTGATAGTCTTCCTATTCACTCACATCATTTTCCTGATTTCTTCCAGGTAGCCTGTCATCTTCATCACCAAAGGCCTTTTCAGTTACTCCGCACGGACATTATGCCTGAAATGAAGGGAATAAGTACTTTACGGGCACTACATTAGAGGTAACACAGTATTATATAACCTGGGCGACATTTGGGCACCAGATTGTTCATGATCATTATCATCATTGCAGACATCCCTAACATTGCCATTCTCAGGGTTTTAAAGTGAGTACACGATGCATTTCTTACAGACCCACTGACGCACAACTAACTACACATGTAGGTCACAGGGGGACAGGCTCCACAAGAGTAAAGTAAGTCTCTATAGAGGGAATTCGTTTTGATCCAGTGCTAGGTCAATTCAGTGCATACAGTCAACATCCTAAAAGATGATTGTAGATGAGGACAATTTTTCATGGTCCCAGGCTGCGTGTTCTTGTTTCACGGTTCCCGCACTGTACGCAAGTTTGCGACACATGCAAAAGCGTACGTAATGTGTACGTCGACAAAACTTATTGTACACGCGTATATACAGACGTATACCGATACATATTAATGAGTGCATATGCATGCATGTTGTGTACATATTCTTTGAGAGTATAATACGATCCATCTCTGTCCTTTGTTCGTTTGACCCAATTCCCATCCGGACTGACTACTGCAGTCATTCTGACCGTGTGAGCAGCTCATCGTGACTCCAGCAGCAGGCAATGAAGTGAATGAGTCACAAACGGTGGTAGACTAGGGAGGAAGGGAGACAGGCTACAGCTGCTGTTGAGACGCTACAGCTCCGAGCCAAAACTCCAGCCAAACACTAAAACCAAATTGGCATTGAGAGCGCGGCTCAAATCGGATTAAGCAATAAATTCTCCGCTCTCTAATTCATAAGTCATTCACCAACGTGGCCACTGCATTACGGCGGTTGGTAATATGTTATTGGTTCTATCCAGCTCGAGACAGGTTTACACAAACTCCCCGGCCTGAGGGTTGTGCTAATGATCATCAGTAAACTCAGCTGGAGAGGTGCTACCATATAGCGGGATTATTTCATTTGGTTAAATTTCCGTTCCAAGTAATAAAATGGATTTTTGTTTGGCTAATTTTTGTTGGCGGAGGCACATGCATGCACCGGGACGCACCTCGCAAAACGTGCGGTTGGAACAACAGTGTATTCCTTAACACAAACAACCACTATAGTGTGTGTGGTATATACATACGTAGTATATACATACATACGTAGTACTTTGTACTTAGTGGAACCTCTTACACAATGGTAGTATAATGTATAATGTTCTTCTCTGGAAAATAATATATAGGGACACCGCGGTATAATTTTCATGGACCTAATGTGTCTATTATTTAACTGCACGAAATGTAGATATTGGTACCATGTACATAGCGTCATGTGTAATCTAACCATTAAAAAGTAAAGAGGAATGCATGCAAGCACATTGCATAGACGTATATCCCAGCCCTGTAACCCAAAATGTATGTTGAACCCCACATCAGCTCTTGAGTACACTGTGTCTGCACATCTGATGACAGAAAAACACCTTTCGTTCATGCATGATACCGCACATTTTTGCCAACCAAGTTTGACCTTTGATCAATCATAATGTTTTGGTTATTACTTATTACTAGACCATACAGATTTAGTACAGATAGGAAATAAAGCCTGCATATACCGTACCCACAAATAATAAACCATACATTGCAAAGGATGGAGAAAGGACGAATATATCAGAAGTACTTAGTGCACAGGACTTTGATACCCAAGTTTGGCTCTTGACAAAAAAGTTATCAAAGTCTTTCCTTCCCTGTGCGGTCAACTAAAGTTATTCAAAAACGACTCTGCATTTGCTTTTGATCTGCATCTAACATTTATATATATATACCTCATATGCCGGTGCATAGCTATGGCTTTACAAACAACCAACGTTGCCACGGTTCACAGATTTGAGAGTTACGTGTAGTGTGACCGAATTCTTGACCCACGCTCGGGTCCAGATATCGTACTATGTAACATGGAAGCAAAATGTTGCACACAACTTTGGTCTAGAGAACGGAATTCCATAAATTAGCACGCACAGCAAACTATTCGCAGGTAGGCATAACTCATGGCATAATTGTGGGGGCCAATATCAATCACCCCAAAAGTGGATTACAGGCAGGTAGCACGAGGTACAATGAACTTGAGCCCTTTCCAAAATGATGCTAATAGGTGTAATGCTCTAATGACTTTCCACACACATCTTTAGTTGAGAGGAAGAGATAATCATGAGTACATATCCTACTTGATTAGAAATGCACTAGATAGGAGCTCAGTTAGCTTTACCACGACGTCCATAGCCAGCTATATAGGCCCCAGGCGATCGAGTGAGGGGTCCGATCCGCGAGAGAGAGAGAAGAGGTCGAGTCTTTGACGGCGCGCGCGCGATACGCCAATTTTGCGCAAGAATGCTAGGAATGGCGAAAAATTAGAGCAATGAATAACCAAACTTTTGATCGGGAGGCCATGTGTGTAAAAACGGCCGATTTCAACTGAAGCGCTTCATTTTTTTCTCTCTGTATAGCCTTTGTTGTTCACCACGACGACTACCCTTGCCTACTGTATCGCACGGCCCGTCCAGCAGCCGACAATACCCTGGATCTAACTCCGTCTGTGGCCGGCCTAGATAGCAAGCTAAAAAGCTAACAAGCAACCAGGTAAGAACCCTTACTGTTGCATTGTGTCTCTCTATCTCTACATGAGTACCTGGTACTGAGAGCCGGGTGGTCGAGGTAGCACAGCGACCCAGTGTCCAGTGAGCTTTTAGCCTTTTCTGGGATTTGCGGTTTGATCGGCTGCCTACCGCAAACGCTAGTGTCTTGTTGTGTACACGCTGTAGCCACCAATATCTCCCGCACACTTTGCCACAGAGCGGCACCTCTAAACCACTGCTGCATCATTCGCCATCAGTGTAGTGCAGAACAGTAGCTTTTTAGTACAGTGCGTCTAACAATGTCATTTCCCCCCACCTTCCCCCTCTCTATCTCCCACGGCTCTCCGCCGCCTCCACCTCCCGCCGCCATCTACCACCAAAACTACAGTCTACCCCAACAACCTCGTCCGCAACAGCTACAAAACATGGCGTCTCCTCCGAGCGAAAACGGCGCGGCAACCCCGTCTTCTGCAGCGCCCGGCTCCAAACTTTTCCGCGGGGAGCGGACCTTTGCCGAGGTTTTAGCCGAGCACCCGGGCGAGCTTGTCCGGACCAGCTCACCCAACTTCGTTTGCACCATTCTCCCTTCCCACTGGCGCTGCAACAAGACGCTGCCCGTCCCGTTCAAGGTCCTCTCGCTCAGCGACGTCGAGGACGGCATCAAGGTGATGCTGACTGCGGGAAACGACGAAAACAGCGCCGCAGAGCTCCGTAACGCCTCGGCCACCTTCAAGAACCAGGTGGCCCGTTTCAACGATCTCAGATTCGTCGGTCGCTCCGGCAGAGGTGAGCCAACTATACGGCTAGCCTTTCCACTACAGGTTCACAAGTTCTAGCAGTGGAACTGTGGTTTTAGCTCTCTCTCTCTCTCTCTCTGTCTCTCGGTTGTGCGTACTTTGTACGTCGGTTGTGGCTTGCTTACCTAGCTAGCCACTGGCGTTTGCTGTAGTTGTGCGGGTGTGTGTGTGTGTGTTTGTACTGCGCTCAGCTGAGCCCAAGCCGTAGACATTATCATTAGGGGCTGGAGGCGCCAGCGACTTCTGGCTAGCTAGTCGAAAGCTAGTGATCTGAATAATACATGTGGCCGTGCCTTTCGAAGTGTGTGTGCGCACCTGTACTATAGCTGGGCTAGATTTTGCAGTGTGCGAGGGTTTCTAGCAAAGCTCTTTGCCTGCAAGCTGGCTGCTGTTTATGTTTGTGTGCATGTACAGCATTTACCTGGGTGCAAATCTGGTACTTTTGTACTTTTGAGGCATAAAATGTGTTTCTTGTTGTACCGCTGATGTTAGGTAGCATGATTTTTTTTGCTAGAAACCATAAATCAGGTGTAGCTGGTGGTAGCAACTGTGTATATGTGTAGGTTTTAGTTCTGACAAGCGATCAACGTTCTGCCTTCTTCCCCTCTCACTTTAGCTCTTCCTTCCTCTCTTGCCTTCATTTCCTCTCTCCCCTCTCTCTCTCTCTTCTCCCGCTGTCCCTCCTTCCCTCCTCTTTCCTTCTTCCTCCTCCTCCTCTTTCCTTCTTCCTCCCTTGCCCTCTTTTTTTTCTCATGCCCCTTTTAATCTCTCTCTATCTTCTCTTCCAACTTCCGTTATTATCTCACCTCCCTCCCATAGGGAAGTTGTTGTCGGTGGTGATACTAGTGGCGACTGAGCCAGCCCAGTACGCAGCGTACACACACGCCATCAAAGTGACAGTGGACGGCCCCAGGGAACCAAGGCGTAAGTCACAGCACACCTACAATACCATACAACGCACTTCTCTCCACACACACTGCCCTACGCTCCGTTTATAACAAAGTCTCAAGTCTCTGCGGTATGCATAAGGACATGCACATGGATCTCCGTTATGCGGCTCTCTACTTTTCTTTGAAAGAGATATAGAATGTAACTTTAATGTTGTATGTATGCAGACCGTATTATTGGTTGTGTGTAGTTCTAGTCGAAGGTGAGGGGCGCCTCAGTTTACACTATGGAATAATGTAGATCGTCGCGCCATTGTTTCAGTTTGGTATGCTAGTGCTAAAGTAACACCAAGTTTGTAGTTTTTGATGGCGTTATTTGTTGCAAAGCTTTCTTAAAATACGGTCGCCGTGTATGTTTACCCCGAATGACTAAATAGTATAGTCTGGGGAAAGTTTATCTGAAATACACACCACAGCGCCAAGTGTCAACACGCGCGGATCTTATCTTACGCCACTTCATTCAAAGACTCAACAGTCGGTGATTTCACCTCAAGGCCCAGAGATTCATGAGGTAATGACCAAAGCCTGCGGTCTCGTTGGAAAACCACCATCAAATGAATCCGTGCTCGCTGGAAGCAGATTCATGTCCTGTGACCCCCGATGGTTGCGTCTGGGGGCAGTGTGCGCGTGGAGAGGTCTTGCAAGAGCTCTAACAGAGACAGTATTATTTGTTTTTACGAGGGTTTTCGTACACAACTGCGTAGTTTTGTACCCAACAAGCTACCAGTGCACATGTGCAGCTTTCCGTACCACTCCCGTACGTCCGGAGAATCATTGTATGGTTTTTATGGAGGTTTAATACCTACAGCTTTTCGCACGATAAGACGCAGTTGTTTCAGGAAAACCGCCATTTTTATTTTCAGGCTCTCATAGTTTTGAAGCCGTTGGTATCGCTAATAGCCCACCTCGTAGCCTGTAGTGCCAGAATAGCTGGCGACACACAGACACACACACAGACAAAGTACTGTAACCCTCGCTGGCATGCGTGCCGAGGGTTAACAATAGGCCCAGTGCAAGAATCCAACATTGCCTTTAAAATGTTTTGCCTGCCTGCTTTTATACCATGAATTATTCATGATGGACTATGCATAAAGCCGTCCACATGCAATAAGGCAATAGCAGTTTTGACGTGTGACTTTGCCGGAAGGAGGCACTAGGAGTGCAAGTATAGTCTTTGTCCTGATAGAGACTGGTGGTTTCAACAGCTGGGTTGTTCCCAGGACCGTTCCTAGACCAAACTATGGTGGCCCGATTCTTTTCACCAACCGGCGATTCTTTTCACTGACACCCGAGTGAGTGGGAGAGAGAAGGAGGATAGGCTTATTATCATAATAGTGCTAAGCTGGATACGCCTGGGAGCATGCAAAGTGGGGGGTTTAATATTTTGGACGAGTGGCTGTGAATGGTGGCTCAAGCTATATACATGTACGTATAATTATGTGTATTTCCTCTTCGAAGGGATGTGGTGGTGAAATTGACATTGATTTCAATGATTTATAATTGCCCTCCCCTCCATTTTTGTAAGTGGCAATTTGCGCTCCCCCCATCTATCTGCCCCTAGGTTTCCTCTAGTATTTCCTATGCTTCAGCTCTGCCACGCTTGCTCTGTGTATGTGTGCATGTGTGTGTGTGTGCCTCCTGCACTGCCAGTGCAGGAAGTGTTTGTTATGGGGACAGATGGACACAGGGCCAGTCTGGAGTAACCAGGGAAGCCTTGTCCACTATAGAATTTCACCTTCTACTGAAGCAGACCTAGAGTTGCTATAGTTCCTTGCCCATTTCCTTTAAACCTCTTGGGAATGGAGGTTCAGGCTTCACTGCCTTGAGGCAAATGCCCGGTCTTTTCTGGTGCAAAATTGTAGGGCGACCACCGTTTTAAAAAGCAGCAATGTTGCAGTGGTTTCTATATACCAAGTGTGTAGCAGTCAAATTTTTGGGAGCATGGTATATCAAGGTGGTTGCAGTAGTAAGTGAAAAAATCAAAGGCACTTGTAGAGATAAGAGATGTCGCAATGATAACAGGCTGTGAAAGGGGACTGGGGTTGTGAATGCCTCTTTCTTTGGTTCCACAGTTGTTCTCAAACTGAGCTTTGTATCTCCCCTCCCTCCCCCCCTCTCTCCTCTCTCTCTCTCTCTCCTTGAAACCATGCTTTTAGAGGTGTCAAATTACACGGCATATGTTCCTAAGTGTACACACTGCATCCATGCATACTTCTACACTGTCACTATATCACGTACAAATCTTATGTGTACGTAATATTATGTAGGCGTGTGACAGAGCAGGTGTATTGTAATTGTAGTGAACCTAGACTGCGTCTGTCATGTGATACCCCGCATTCCACGGCTAACAGGCGCATAATTCCCTGCCATCCAATACTACTTTGACACTCACACCAAACGTTCCAGTCAATGTGAGCGTATTGATTTACATAATCAGTAAAAAAAATATCGTGGCCTGTATGTACATTTGCAGTGTGTGTTTCAATTCTGCGATTAAGTGCCCAAATTCCTAATCCTTTAGCTTGTATAGTTCATAGTCTGTGTAACTATTCTGGTGATGGGGTGCTTGTATAAAGACTTTTCTTGCAGCTCTCATGGTCTTTCAGTGGCATGAATGTGTGTGTGGAGTACACATGTCAGTTTATATTACACACATTTCACAAGGGTTGATAAGCAGATAATATAGACAGTTGCAAACAATGCTCTGGCATTGCATGAAATTACAGTCGGACATTGGACATTTTCCAAGCATTTGTGGAACTTGTCCGTGCGAAAATAGTCCAGCGTTACATCATAATGTACCATTTCACGAGTTGTGATATGCTCTTGGAAGTTGAGGGAGGTACTGAGATGTGTAGCAAGATAGTTCTAAAGCGTGGTTCACATGTACATTGAATGAATTGTGAGCACACTGACACTCCCCGAGCCCATCCCACAATCCTTAAATTGTTGCCCAGTGCAAGTTCACCAAGTTCATGTGTTTTTCAGCAGAGCCTATAGCTTGAAAGACAGGCAAACAACTTTGTAGGACAGCAGCCTCATGCTATTGCAACATGCAGGTTGTACCAGGTCAGTATGATAATATGATGTTGCCTGTTTCAATGGTGGTGACCTACAGTTCTCCTGTATGTATGGGACAGGGATCTTCTTGAGCCTGCTGCTGCCGTTGTACAAGTCATGTTGACGTTGTGTACCTTGTACTACATGTAAACCTACAACTTGACAAGTGTGTACGTAATCTTGACTCTGTGAGAGAGAGAGAAGCACTCCTGTCTATCTACCCCCCTCCCTCTCTCTCTCCCTCTCACTCTCCTTTTTCTCTATCCCTTCTCTCTACCTCCTTTGTTGCCCATAATCGTTAGTTTCACTATCTACAATACACTCCACAACAAAAGCATCTCAACATGCTCCTAGTGGCATATTACACAGGTGGCCGGCCCTTCTCCTCCCCACACGACCCAATCCTGTTACCTACCATCTGTCCGACTGTAGTTATTCCTCCTCCTTATTTCCACAAGCTCTACTTGACTTCCATTGTGTCTGGTCTACCACTACCCTTTCAACGCACCAGACACTCCATTCTGCTTGATTTGGTTACAGGCTTGCCTCTTTTCCTGGTGCTCTTGAAAGCTGTCAACAGCAAGGTTTGCAAGGAAGCAAAGATCCATGCCTTCAGATAGTGCAGGCGTGGAGTTTTGGTGTGCTGGTCCTGCTATAAGTCCACACCGTGCCATGTCAGTGTGCGAGGCTAAGCAATTTCTCCATTGGCCCTAGTCGTCCTGTAATCAATAGCCATATGCTTGACTGTCAGCACGATTGTGCATATAATGCTCGATGGCTACTGTAAGCCTCTCCATTATGGACACATAATACACCATATGACGCCTTTGATGTGCCTTATACATCTTGGCAAGTATGTGGAATACGCTCTATCTTCCATACACAATGGTCATGCCACTTTATTTGGATCGGTTGCGCAATTTTGATATTATATCTGGTATGCAATGTGTGGGACAGCGTAAATATGCATATTAAATTTGTCAGAGGCAGTGATACATACTGAGCTGTCCCCACCCCAAAGTATTAATACGTATCTAGATCACTGCTTATGGCATGATAAGGACCCCTGTTCTCTTGAATGCTGTGTGAAGTACTACTCTGCATAATTATTATGATCTGTCTCTCTCTTCTTTCTATCTTTCTCTCCTCTCTCTCTCTCTCTCCCCACCTCCCTCCCTCCCTCTCTGACATCGGCAGGTAACAGACAACGAGTGGATGATTGCAGAGACCACCCGTACCTGAGGCCCAACCCATTCCTCGGCACCGGAATGAATGGACTTCGACTGGCACCCAGTGGGATGGAGCCTGTCGGAGCCGGGGCGGCCGATCCGCGGATGGGACTCAACACGCCTCCAGAAATGTGCCCAGGATGTAAGTGTACCGTGTAATGAATGGGGATTGACGATGATTGTATATAATTATACACGCATGCGTATATCATGCTCGGAAGTCACGCTTTAGGAATGTGATTATTTTGGGTGCTACGTGCAAACGTGTGCCAGCGTAACACTGAGGAATGTTACTGCGCGACGTGACGTAGTGATTGAGACCACAAGCCCCCAACTCTTACCACGTGAGGCGGACAAAGAGTCGAATCCGAGAAGCTAGAGGGAATCTCCGTCTGCTGTCCGTGTATGTAAATAGTACTGCTCAGTGTCGTCTGCGTACTTACATACAGACTCAGCTACTCCAGTAGTCCAGATAGATCACACCTGCATCGTGTCACAAGCACGGTGTGTAACGTGTATGTAATTCTCTTTGAGGGGTCTTCTCTGCTATGTATATATGTCTATCACTAGTTAAACCTCATATTAAAGAATCGTGTGGTTGTTGCAGTTCACTGTGTTTCTAACCCAAGTTGAAAAAACAGCTGTAGAGTTTGTTTAGTTGTGTACCAGTATAATGTATACTTGTAGAGGCGATTGTTGCCCCTTGCTTGTAGTAGTGTTATTTGTGGGCTAGTAAACACTCTGTACTCTCTAGCCAGCTTTTATCCTATTGTTCAGACCACTCTCTCGAGAATATCCACCTACCGCCCCAGCTAACCCCGCTAGAAATGGTCGTAATCCCCGCATTCCGTGCATTCCGGGGCTCCAAAGCCGTCCAGCGTAGTGTGTGCTGTGAGACAAATAGAGATAGATTCTCAGCCGTAACGAGATTGTCTGTCCTGCTACTATGCGAGACTTAATTCTTGGATTGATTCAGTGACTCCTTAGCCTGGCTCGTGTCCTCTCCTTCCCATCCCTGTTAGTCCGTATTGAATCCCCCTTGTGCCCTTCTCTTGTGCCCTCTTAGTCCGCTATATTGAATCGCGGGCCCTTCCCTTAGCCATATATTTAACCCCGGGCAATTAATAATGCCCTTTAGGACCCCAAGCCTTTACCTTTTGCATAGCTTTACTCGGTGCACAATTTGATATTCTACCCCTGTTTTTGTGCAGAGGCGCATTAAACATTAGCATAACAAAGTTGTTAGAATGAAGATTTGTTGATTTGCGTACAAGCATGCGAACAGAGAAAACTGTTCGTTTACAGTTTTAAATGTACCTGCAACAAAAGTGTGCGTGTTTGCTATTTGTCGTATGCGGTGTGTGCAAACATGACTGCCGGAGAGGTAGACATGCGTTTTTTACACCTGTCTCATGTACTTGTACAACTGACTGCATTTTTTTGCAACATGCTCTGTTAGATCCGTGTACAGTTCGTGTATTGGTCGTGTAGCGGTGTAATTCAGTATTATTTGTACTTGCTGCGTACTGAGAGTGTGAATAATCGTCTTGGGACGCTTTGGAACTTAAGGAAGGTGTGTGTTTTACCAAATACGGACGTGCTGCGGTTCAGCGCCACATGTCTGGCAAAAGTATCATTTTTCTGTCATGAGCTCACGGGCTCTGGCCCCTGTAGGCTAGCTGGGATTTAGTCTAGCATGATAATTACGTTGCCAGCTGAACGGAGCTGGGCTATTGTTACTGTGGGAATGGTGTATTATATGTATGTGAGATTGTGTTAGGCATCGGATTAAGGTGTCTATTTCCGCATTTGGGTACATTGAGTCAAAGGTTTGGAGTGAGATGTAGGGTGAAGGAACGAGTATTTGGAGCGAGATTACTGTGCCACAATATCATAGTTATTTACCAAAAAGCCGGCCAACGGTTGTTTACGATCAAGTGGCAACAATGAGGAAGCTAGTTTCTGGAGTACAGGAGTTTGTAGCAGTGTCATGTGTGTATCAGTCAAGGTTTAGAATTAGTGAGCCATATTTGGAAGTTTTTTGTGTTCTGCGGAATTCCAGGGACATAATTGGCAAGTGTCTTGTGTGAGCCTACCTCGTTGTTTGGATAGCCAAAATACCATTTAAAACACTATTGCATTGTTGTAATGCAATTTGTTTGTAAAAACTGCTCAACTCTAGCACTTTAGTTCACTCCCCAAAATGCCTAAAAGCTGTGAAGCTTAGAGCAAGCAACATATGGTGATGCTGTAGAGTGTTGTTTGTGGGTACATTGTGGCTGGAGCCACTGGTCTTATCTACTACAATCTCCTGAGGTTGCCATGGGAGACTCTAATTGGGCCGGAAATGACTGATAGATACACACTCAGGGCTATCCTTCCAGTCCCGGCAGGCCACTGGATGCACTGCACTCTCTTGGGTTTCTTTAGGGTGTGGAGGGAGAGGAGAGGAAGAGATAGGGAGAGAAAGAGAGGTTAGGAGACCAAACTGAGAAAAGAGAGAGAGGGGGGAGGATGGAAGGAGAAAAGCCAAAGATAGGGAGAGAGCAAAGAGAGAATGTGGATCTCTAAACAAAGAGATGTGTGAATCAGGGGGGAGGCTGCTGAGGTGGTTCTGGCAAAGGTGAGGGACTGAAATTGGAACACCTGTTTTACTGCACCTAGCTTGCCTTAGGGGGAAGTTGGCACAGCAGAAGTCTGTTTCCTAGGTGTTAATTGGCTGCTTGAGCTGAGTTGGCCAATGGCAAGTCAGCTAGCTGGCTAGCAAGCGAAATGAGAGGGTGAATGGGGTTACTGAGTCTTAATTGAACTATAATCAACCCACCTGTGCATAATCATAGCCTATAAGTTTAATTATGTAGTGGCTTTTTAGAGAGGAAATGCTGTCCAGGGAAAGGGAATGTTTTGTGGTTAGGCTGGCAGGGCCTATCAGGGTGTTCATCTGATACTATAGCCACAGGACACAACCACAGCTACTGATGATGATGTAACTGACAAGATCTAGCAAAAACCACTAAATAACTATTCAGTGGGTAATTGTTAACTGTATATGTATACAAGCCTCTTCAGTGTATATAATATATATAATATCATGTCAAGTGTAGCAAAATAAATTAGGCCAGGTGATAGCTTACAACAGCAACATGTACATATAATATGTTGGCTTGCTTCTTTACCCACTGTCAGTTGTGATAGTATTATACAGCAGAGGTACAGGTGATACCAGACTGTGACAGTGTCAAGATATCATGTTTTGAAAACCACTAGGACAGAGTTGAGCACCTGTGCAGGGAGGTGAAATTTGAGCAAGCTTTTCCCTTGTAGCCAATATCTCAGGTTGAGGAACCTGGTTTTCAACTGGCGCACTTTGATTTATCAAAATCCCTGTGTTGATAAAGTAAACTGAGTGTAATACATACATACATCAAGCTGCTGTACTAAGAGCCAGTACAATTGACTAGTGTCTGTTTAATTGAGAGGATGGTAACGGAAGGTGCAAGGATGTTGTGTGTTGGTGAGTGGAATCTGACATTCCTGACTGGTGAGATGTGAAGTCTCCAGGGAGTAGGTCTGGATTCTTACTTCGCCCACACCAAACACTACTACATCACTGACTCTCTCTCTCTATGTATACACTCTTCATTTCCTTCCTGCCACTTGGAAAGAACTTGTGTGTGTGTGTGTGTGTGTGTTTTTTGTCCCTACTATAATGAGCTACTGTAATGAGCTTTTGGACCCCTTGGTGAGTGTGACAACAACACTCACGCAGTAAGCTAGAAGTAGCTACCTACATATATACCACTGAAGAGTGAAGATTGGTTGCAAAGTTGTCTTTCAACCTTTTGCATGATTTGAGCACATTTATCTCTCCATCAATATTGTATATTTGGGGACCATACAGATTTTTACTTGCAAGTGCCTTTTTTGAGGGAAGTGTAAAAGTACACCAATGCATAAGTATTTCTTTTGTGTGCTAGGGGACTGTTTTCTTATAGTATTGATAGAGGCTATCTCCTCTGATGAGGGACTAGGCAGAGTGCAGCTGTGTGCATCTTATCATGTGTGTGTATGAGTAGTACACGTGTGCCTGTGGCTGAGTTCCCAGGCTCTTGTTGGTATAAGTGTGTCTTTGTGATAGGACAGGGTTAGTGGGTGGTGGATCTCCCTTCTAGAATGACTGAGTGGGAGTTAGTTTTTGAGGTGAAGTAGTGAAAATCACAGCGTGGGAAGCTGGTTGTGGACTTTCCCATGCCACTGACTTTGATCAACAGTAACAATGATTTATCCCCCTCTCTCTCTCTCTCTTCCCTCCCTCCCTCCATTCAGCATTCCCAGATGTATCTCTCCCAACATGGGCACCAAACTCTCCCTGCATACCTAGTAAGTCATTTGGCACACACCACATATCACGTTGCATGTAAGTACCATGCAATAAACCTGCACCGAAATTATAGCAAGTGCTTTAGGGCATAAATCTGCTGCCAAAAGTTGTGTTGTATGTTTCTTAAAATTCTATTAGTGGTAGCAAATCACCAGCTTCATTTACATCCCCTCACTTCCACTACAACACACAGTGTACTCTGGTTTCTTGGACCCTTTGTTTACTTGAGGAGCCAAAGCTAGCTTGCTATATCCGTTTTTCTATTGGGGGAGGGGGCTTCCTCTCTTCCTCTCTCCCTCCTTCCCTCCCTCTCTTTCTTATCTTGCCACCCTCTCTCCCCTTTTTCTCTTGTGGGGGAGGGGGGGCACTTTCTGCAGCTTCCTCCCTATCTCTCTTGCTCTCTCCCTCCTTCCCTCCCTCTCCCCTCTCTTCTCTTGTGTGGCCCATCAATATACACACTACCCCCCAGTTGTCCTCACACACACACAGCTCCAGTAGTGTGTTAATACATGACATGAACTGTGTGTATGTGTGTATCAAATGGCCGCTGTGTGTGGTAGACGTTACCAATACATCTGTTCTCACGCTCATTTTGAGAACATGGAATATTACCTAATGAGCTTTGAATTAGCTGCCATGTGTGTACATACATACGTCCATAAGCAGCGGCATACATATTATGATATCGGGAGGGGAGGGTCCTATTAGGGTATCAGGTTATTGGTTGTTCTAGTACTATACTGGATCCTGTTTTACTGGCTCTTTGTAAACAATGTTGCACTGCCTTATACCATACATACATACATACATACAAGTAATGCCACACGCTATAGCTTTGCTTTTTTAATTGGCGAGTGAAAAAAGCCTTCCTAATCGTTTCAGTGCAGGTGTTTGTTAATAATGCACGTGACTGCCACTGCGCGCAGCACCGCAAGTGTTCTATGTGATTCTAAATACGCGAAAAACATGCACGAAATATTGAACTGCTCACCTTCCTCTTGTAGTTTACATAAAAGTGGATTGTACAATCATCCAGCGAGTTTGAGGACGGGCCGTCGCTATGAACAACACACCGCTCAGAGGAACCATACGTAGACTAACACATGAGTCTAGGCCGACCGACTCGTGGACACCACTCGAGGCGTGGTTTGAGTGGCATTTACCGCCTTCTAGAGTTCCATATTATTATTGGGTGTAGCGTGCGGCGGGGACGTAGATCCTTTAATCTCGTGCACTCTGCGACGGTAAGTTGATAACCGTATCTTGTGCTCTACTCTCTAGCCTACGTAGTTCCCAAGTTTCCACGCTCACTGGAGCTCTCGCGTATTTTCTCAGCTTACACGAACCTTTGCAATACGTTACGTGCTTACAATGTGACTTTCCTTGCGTGTGGTGGTGTCGGGGCCCTGCTCTCTCTGTGAGGCAAGGCATGCTGGAATTCAATGCATGATGTACTGTGCACATGCCGGGGGTGCATGCTCTAGCTCCTTTAATACCATACTCTCAGTAAAAAGCAAGCGCTTTTGACCTGACATTCCATTTGAAGTAAATGAGGGCACCCTGGATCAATCCTGAAACTATAAACAAAACTAGCTGGTCAAGAGTAAGTGCAATCTTGGAAAAGGGTTCCATACGCAAGCTTTGATCGATGCCTTTGGCAGGTAATTGTCTCTTCAGGCTCCAGCAGGGAGCCGGGAGCCTGGAGTTAAGCATTGCCTCAGTCCATATGTAAAACAGAATTCATTCACTTGTTATCAACAGAAAACCTAAATTCGTTCACAATTTTAAAAAATCATTCAGAAGGGCACCAAGAGTTGGTATTACTATAAAAAGCAAGTGATACAGTGGTACAGTTGGGGAGGTATATACATGAGTTGTTGTGTGGTGCTGGGTGCGTGTAAAGATGACTTCTAACAACATACCTAGTGTATCATGAAGGGTATCATGGCCTGTATATAGTAGACGTGCCGCTAGACAGTGGAGTAGGGTGGTGGTGGAGTGAGGTGGTGTTGGGTTTCCTGGTAGCATCTGTCACTAATTGATCAGACCACACTGCCCCTCAACTTCTCAGCCCCCACACACGCAGCCTCTCAACTCTTTTGTGTGCTTCTCTTCCGCTTTCAGCAAGTCTCTGCATCTACAGTGGAGCCCTCGGTAACGAGATCCCAGAAATGAGGACGCCTCTAATACGGACACCTTTTATTCCAAGTAACCCACCCCTGAAATACCGACATCTTACTAGTAGACACTGCTGTTGCGACTTTATCAGGCTCATACACTGTTGCTCCGTGCGAATTATTTTCTAGAAAACGTTTTAGGGGTGGGTGGGCGGGGCCTACAAAACACGTGGTGGGGCACAAGTTGATGGCTCAATGGTTCAGTCAGTATTTCATCACAATGCTGTGTGGCTGCTGTTGTCTAGGATTCAGTTGACATTGAAAAATGACCGTAGCTTTCCATATGAAATCCCAGCGCTATTATTGTGTTTACGAGGCTATCAGGCCATGCCCTCGCAGTGAGGTGTTGCACTCTAATGGTTGCAAGCACTGCTGTGTTTGTGTGTGCAAACTGGCTTCTACGACCTGTAGATCACTGGCTGTCAGTATTGTACATAGCTTGCTGTACAGTGTGTGTACATGAGTATATACAGGAGTTGTAGAGTGTGAATTTCTTGTGGAAATACGTCACAAGTGACAAGGGTCCATATGGGGTTTGCTGTCATTGTTTCATGCTCCAAGGTTTACAGTTAGATGTGATGGGATTTTGAGACTAACATCTAAGTTTCTCTTCTCCTTCCTCTCCCCCTCCCTCCCTCCCTCTCCTTTTCTCCCTGCTTTCGGCCCCCTCTCCTTCTCCTTTCACCCGTTCTTCCCCTCCCTCCCTCCCTTCCTCTCCCTCTCCCCTCCCTCGCTCCCCACAGCCCTGCGATCTCCCTCTGTGTGGCAGTACCCTGCAATCATCACTCCAACCATCACCACCTCCCACGTGGAGACCACGAGGTGCAATTCTGTCACTCAGAACAGTGACTCCATGAGTAACGGTAGCTCCACTCCGCCCACCGTGGAACACCAACAGGTCCAGCAACAGGCAGCCCAGCAGGTGAGAGAGAGAGAGAGAGAGAGCTTGTCACGCTAAACTACAGAGTGTCCTGGGTTCGAATCCCACCTCTGCTCTTTTTCTCCGAAATATAGGGAAAAGGGTGCTAATTGGTGTAGTGTGTTTTAAAAAAGGAAAAATGGTCCTAATTGGTGTAGTGTGTTTGAAAAAAGGATAAATGGTCCTAATTGGTGTAGTGAAAAAGAGGGAAAATGGTCCAAAGGATGTAGTTTGCCTTTGCGTTTACTATGCACACATTTTAGAAGCCCTTGGGTCTGTTATGTAGCTAGTTTCTCAAATACTATTGACACATTGCCATGTGCGAGATTGTTTGCACTTGGGAGTGTGTACTGATGTTACAATGGCAAAGTGTTTGAGTTCCTTGAGAAATGTTTGACCATCGCATGGGAGCAAGGACCAAGGATGGTACTCTCTTGATAGTAGAGCTATCTGCGCTCCTGTGGAGACTACACAGTGGTCTGTATTTTGTTGATACACACCACGTTTTAGTTAATACCTTTACCTTTTATCCCCCCCTCCTCCTTCTGTATTACAGGCAGCACAACAACAACAACAACAAGCCCAACAACAACATATGAACCAACAGAACTCTCTCAACGACATGACAAAATTCGTGTTCCCCGCGCACGGGATCCCAATCTCCCCCGGAATATTCGGCACCCAGTTTTTCGGCACCACCCCCTCGAGCGGGATAACCCCGATTACTCCGCTTACTCCAACCGTCCTGGCCCCCGCGACCTCTTGCGGGCTGGGGTTCACCACAGACTTCCGCCACATTCCGGCAAGCCAATTCTTCTCTCCGCTGAGTCTAGCTCCGCCCACCATGATCCAGGGTTCGCTCCCAAAAACGCCGACCCTCCCTCCTCCCTCTCCCCACGCCCTCGTCGGGATAAGCCACCAAGGGATGCCGACATCGGCAACGCTCGTCAATTCCCCGTTCGGTAAGGGCAGTTTCATGGAAGAGTTCACGAAGATCGGGAGTATATCGCCGTTCATCGTGTCTCCTGGGCCGGGGATTTCGCCAAAGAAGGCAAACGGGACGACGGTGTTTTTTCCAACCGTTCCAAACGGAGACGCGAAGCTCACGACCGTGATAAACGGAATAACGTTCACAACGCAGGCGGCAGACCCGAGCGGACAGCATCACCACCCCATCGTTAAGATGGAGACACCGCTAGAACCAAACGCATGCTGCGTGGGGGACGAGAAACAATGATGGCTGCTGCCTGCCTGCCTCTCCCCTCCTGCCTGCCACTGCCAGCAATAACCACTTTTTAGGTGAGTAGCAGCAGCACCTCGTACTATAGTCTCCAGTAGCATGTTGTACAGTTGGTCTGAGACCTCTCTTAAAATGGGTTCTCTCCCCAATTTCTATTCAATATAACGCCTAAAATAAGGATTTCTCTCTAATAAGTGCACACTTTCCTCTGTCCTTTTGTGCGTGTTTCTACTGAAATGAGGTGCCTCTCTAATAAGTGCACTTTGTTGGGATACTTTTATCTCCATGATTAGAGGGGTTCGACTGTGTAATTGCTGCCCGCAGCCGTATAGGATTACAATAGTGTGGCGTATTACATGCATCTCACAGTGTGTAGGAATAAACGATGTGTATTGCAAGGAGTCACACTGCTCCTCACAATTGTGAATCAGTTGTTGGATATCCCTAGGCAACCGACATGTATGAAGCTAGGTACTGGACGATTTTATCAGCCTATACAATCCTACGTGTGCAAGCAGCGTTCATACATGTCATTTGCCTAGGGATATCCAACAAATATGTTGCATACCCAGACAGGACAGCATTCGCCCTAACATAATATATATATATATATATACACGTTCACGTAGCTTTGGTGTGCATTTTATTGCGTCTCAGCACAACACAAATTGATTTCCATTCTTGTGTATGGGGGGGAAAAGCTAGGGTGTATTAGTGTGTAGCATAAATATGTGAAAATGGCATGAAACACAAGCAAAGTGGTTTTGGATCTTCAGGTGTCCTTGGGGACTGGTGGGATAGTCTGAGCTAGCCTGCACAGATCAACAGCAGCCTCAGGGGAGGGAAATGAGATTAGGCATGTAATGGAACTTGCTTGTTCAATCAACCATATATGGAGGGAGGAGATGTAGAGCTCATTAGACCTGGAATATTTCACACTGGTCAGAGGCTACACCTGCTGTGTTGGAATCATGTGACCCACATGAATGGTTGGATAATGGTCTGCGTGTCTGGTGCAGTTGCAGTGGATTGGGATTCCTCCAGTCAGTTGGCTTGTGTCCTGTGGTGGGGGTTCTCTTTGTTGTCCCTAATAATCTTACACTATGTGCACTTAGCCTGTACTCTTGACTCTTCATCTGCTGCATAGTCTCTTTGAGCTTTTCTATTACCCACTTCCTTTCTCTCTTTTCTCTTTGTCACCCACAAGGCATTACTTGGCCAGCCTGTACCCCCTTTCCCCCTCTCTCAGCTAGTCTCTATTCAACTTCAGTTTCTCTCTCTCTCTTCCCTCTTTTCCTCTCCATCTCTCTTTTCCCTTGGGCTCCATTCACCCCTCTTTGTTTCTTGTAGCCCAACTTCACCCTCTCTCCCTGGGCTTTTGAAGCACCCATAGAAAATGCCCATGTTGGTGCCCTGCAGACGGTTTTCTGTGCAAACCGCCCACACGCTCTCATCAAACTGTAGTAAGACCACTTCCTTCTGCTCAAGCCCTACAAACGTCATACCACCGCTGATCCCTGCCCCTGATAGCCTGGCCCTTGCTTCCTTTGTCTGCCTTTCAGCTCCTTTTCTTTTCTCTCACTCTCCCACCATTAGCCTCAGGGTGCCTGTGTGTGTGGGAGAGAGAGGGAGAGGGGAGGGAGGGGCCTTGTTGATAGTGATGCCACCTGGTGGTTCTTGGCACTGGCTGTAATTCATGCATGAGAGACTGTGTGTTGGTAATGTAATTGCCTCAGGTGGCCTTTAGTATAGTGTGTATTCATCCAGACACTTGCCCATTCAGCTACCATCACAATAGGTGTATATAGGGCCAAGATCCTGAAAAAGTATGTTCTCATGGGAGTTCTGAGCTACATTAATGGAGTAATGGAGGGTAGGTGTGTCCTATAGCCATTGTTTTTAGAAACTCTGTGGAAGGCACAATGTTTGTTGTTGGTGGGTGAAAACTTTAGTTTTTCCCACAGTGTGCAGGGCAGGAAGTGGAGCGGTGAGCATTACAGGGTGACCCTGTGTACTGATAATATGCCCAAATTCCCTGTCAGCCACCTTTCTTTCTGCGGGTTACCCTTGAGAGTAGAACAAAAACCAGGGCACACTCACTCAGCTCCACTGGTGGAGTGGATGTGGTGTAGGGCCCACTCTACTGGTCCTGTGATGTGGTCCCCTGGGTTAAAGGCTTATTCTCTGCCTCCCCTCTCTTCCTACTCCTTCCTGCTTCTGCCTCTTCCCCCCTATCATACACATGACATACAAACAACAAAGTATAGGACTGTGGTAGATGAGTGTGGTAAATGAGTGTGCTCCTTTTTCCTAGGTCTGTCAATATTTCATTAGCTGGTATTGGTGCTACTCTCTCTGTTTAGTTTTTCTTTCTTGATTATTATGAAATTCTCTCCTCCCCTCCCTCCAAATTGCAGGATTTTCTCAAGTGCACTCCAACCAGATTTGACACAGGGATCTCTAGTCGCCTCTCTTCACTTCTTTTTTCAGTCTGTCGAAACCACAACCCAAAAACTCTGAGAGTTTCAGGTCTCTCTCTCTCTCCATACCCCCATTCTTCCGTTCCAATACCCCTGTTCTCTCTCAATGTAAAGTTCCTCACCCATTATGGATCACGGTCCGAAACACTTATCATGAAACCTCGCTCTCCCACCCTCCCACTGTATAAAGTATGGCACACTGTCATTTCCTCCCTGCCTGTATGTTGTAGTACCATCTGACCAATCACAACTTATAATAGACTTAATAATACACTGTCCATCTTTCTACTACAAACTTCTCCAATCACGTTTTCTTGTAGTCCACCACCCATTTTTCATCTGCCATCCCTCACTTTACATGTGTGTGTGTCTGTGTATTGTACTGTTAGCTAGTCCCCCCCACTCATGTGTCACCTTTCTCTTGGTCTTTTCTGGCACCATGAGACCCTTTGACTGTACCACTGTCACTTTTTACTCTCTTCCCTCTCTCTGTCTTTCTTTTTGTCCCTGTCGTATTGTATGTTTGTTTTTACGTGCTCACTTTTACTAGCTTTTTCTCCCTTTTTTTGATTATCCTACTTATTATAATGTGCATTACCGACAAAAGCTGCACTTCAAAGGATTAACTAGTGTAACTAATAATGTGTTATTATACACCGCCCGATCCTATGTGATAGTGTACCATCAAGATCCGACGCTCTGCTCATTTCAATCTTTTTGAAAATTGCTTAAACTGAGTTTTCACTTACAATTAGAAGAGCTGCACCCAAAACTAAGACTATCTCTCTATCTTCATGTGTTTCTATGGCATCTCTCCCATTGCCCCTCAGCACTACCATGTCTGTTTCGTGTATTAGTCTGTTGTAATAATTATCACTCGGTGCTGTCAGATCTCTCTCTCCCTCACTTTGTTTTGTACAGCATACATTGTGTATGTACAATTTCTCCAGCAACATTAAAAATTGAACCATCTCTCGTAACAAACATGTGAACTGTGGCGTGCGCAGACACTGCGTATTTGGCCCTGGGCCAGGGGAAGCATTTCCTCTGAATAATCCTGGAGCCAAACGTTAATATGATACTAGCTGCGCCTCATAATGGCCACGTGTCTGGTCTCATTGTAGAATGTCCGAATAGTAACACAGTCATGTCAGTCTTACTTTACTTGTGACATACTACCCATGGTTCTTTTTCTCCATGTGTGTTGGTATAATATCTAATTATCAACGTACTAAAACACCTGTGGTGGCTGTTGGCAAACAACGTAATGTTGTTTTGGTGCCATGCACAACAATTTACGTAATGTGCTGCAAAGGTCAGAGTATAGGACCTCGTAAGTAACATGCACATGCGGTGAAGTGATGCTCTTTACTCTCGCTGCCTGAGAAATGCATAATTATAGCTACGTACTATAACACCATGTGTGATACGATGCCTGTAGATTATCATAGTGGGGATTCAGCCTGACGTTAGTGGCATGCATGGAAGCACCCACACACGCACATGGTCAGCTCACATCACACGTACATATAGCTAATCGTGTCAGTGACATTCCTCCGAGATTACTTCACACCCTTATCCCCACACTGCTTGTAAACATTGGATAATGACAGCGTAATCACCCCTACACAAACAGCTCTGCGTACTCTGCCCTTTTCTAGCTGTCAGAGGGGGAAACTAGGCTTATAATGGGAGTGAGAATTATCTTACTATGATGACCACATAATTTATACACAAGCTGTACTAACAGGGATTGATGGTGGGTAAGTGAAAGTCTCATACCCAGACTCATTATGTATACCGTGTGCATTGAGAGCCTGAAAGTGGAAAGAAAAACAATTCAACAACACCCACTCTTTTCCAAGAAAAAAGATGGCACTGGGTGGGACAAGATACAAAGATTAGGCTAATTCACATAGACCTGAGCTGGGTACATGTAGGCCACATGGGGTGTAGCTGTATTAGCCTTGTTTCCTGTCCCTGTCGCAGTGAAAGGCCCTGGAATCAGGCTAATCAAAGAACAATGCACTAATGCCAGATTATGTCTAAATTTGTCTAGGTAATCCAGTTAAAACACCCTCTCTACAATCAGCGTGTCCAACACATTGTCTATGACAGAAAAGCAAGCTAGCAACTTGTATGCTACAAACAAGCACAGCAGCCCACTTGATATACTACCTCTGAGAAGTGGGAAGACTGTTCAGCCTCTGTTGTGTAATTCTAAACCTCAGTGGCATATGGCAGTGAATTCTCTACCGCCAGCTAAAACCTGTGGCATTTCCCTATCCAAACACATGGTCACATGTGCAGTGGACCGTTTGTCAAGACGGAATACTTGGGGCAATCTAAAAATGGTTGATATTTGGAGTGGCATGGGAAGAATGCAGTAAGTGTCACTGCCATGGAAACCATCTGATTGAAGGCTGTGAGTAGGAACAGAAACCACTGGTAAAACAAAGAGTCTAGCAAAAGTTGTGCAAAAACTTGTTTTGGTTTCATGCTGAACTAGAAAATGAAGGAGTCTCACACAATGTTCCTGTTCCCCTAAACTGGAACCTCTTGTAAACCTTATGAGCTCTAGTGGATCAGAACAGAAATGTTTCACTTGTTTATCAGATTCTATGTGGCCCATTGCATGGCAGGACGGTAAAATAACAACCAGTTGAGTGCGTAAGTTAATGGAAGGATTTTGTCTTGAGAGAGCGGGTTTGTGCGGTGTCTGATATACACTTTTTCATGCCAAACGTAATCATCAGAACATTACAAAAAAACTCATTGGATTTAGCCTGACAGACGTGAGGTAGGGAGCACATTACAGAGGTATAATTATAGCCCAGTGAAGAGAGCTAACTGTGCCAGCACATACGTGCTAGGAAGGTGCAGACGTAGGTAAAGCTGGTGTGACAGTAAGTAGTGCTGAATTTGGTAGGCACTGGCCCATGTAGCTGCCGGTGATCCCATAGTGAGAGCTAGACACTTGTAGCACTGGTCAAGTGTATGTATGCAGTATAGCAGCTACAGTGTATATAGTGCATTAGCCAGTGATGCCAGGCTGGATGCCTGCATGATTGCCGTAATGGAGTTAAGCAAGGGAAAAGCAATGCCTTACAAATCAAATTATGGTGTGTTTATATTGCCGATGATCGATCAACATTCTACTTTGGTAAGTGCATAGACATTAGGTAAAATCCGATGGCAGACTGCACACATTATAGCTGGCTCTTTGCATATAAGGGTGCACGGTTTGAGCACACTTCCACGTATTTGGAATTACAGAGCCTATAATTAGAATAGGTGTACTCATTACGCATTACCTCCACTTACAACACTAGGTTCTTACAGTCTTTCGCCTCAGTCTCTCTTGTCTGCTATATAGGTACATAGTCTTCTGGTACTGAAGATGTAGTTTTTGTGGTGTTTATAGAAGTTTGATTTCCTGTGTATTGACTAGACCATGGAGAGGAAGTGATCCTTGTAGTGAGGTCAAATGAATATCACTGGTAATTGCTGATTAGATAGTGCATTACATGTTAAAGTAAACTCTTTCTTACAAATACAATGCATCAACATTAATTTTGTTGCACTCTTGAGTCAACAATGTCATTTATTTATCTACCTCAATCAGTGCTGGTTACAAACACACACACACACACGACAGGTTCAGTATAATTATAGTGCACATGGTCCTACATACAGCAAAGTCATTCTGGAATAATGGCATTAGGTGACTATAGGGAGAAGTGAGGGGGAGTTGTAGCTGTGAATTAACATCTCAGAGGCTCTGCCAAAATCCCTAATGCCACGTTTTCCAGTTCAGCAGATACCGTGAGAGTGAGTCCACTACTACGACAGCGCCTTATACGGCGAGCTAATACTCAATTTGCTTATCCTGTCACTTTACCAGTGGAGCATTAGTACCTAGCTCGGAGCTACTATCATGCAGTGTGCCCTTGCTTGGTGATGACTTAGATGCTTGCTGCCAGTGCCTTTTAGAGTGCAGGTGGCCAGAATTAGAGCGGTGTGTACACACACACACACACACACACACACACACACAAGCTGAAACGCAAACATCCAATTAATCATAATACACAGCATACAGATTTTGTATCAGAACGTGCAGTAGAGAGAAGCTGGGAAGAGAGATGCAACGCTGGAACTGGTATATACATTTACATACTGTGGGTGTGCAACTGGGAACTTGGTCAAAGAGACCAACACCTGCAACACATGTGTTGGGATTTGGGCTGGAGATATCTGACACCTCAGTAATGAAGGCTCCTCTTCTTGTCCTCCATTAGTCGCCCACAATACCACAGGTGTAAACAATGGCATTGGATTAAGTTCATTGACAGGACAGAGGGAGCTATTAGGAGGATAATCGCTGCACAGGGCACATCTGAGGCTCTAACTCAATCAGGTGTGGATTTGGTATAGGTGGAGGTCTGCCAACCCACACTTTGTGGAGATGGCTACTCCCCCACCAACTCAGTCCTCTTGTCAGCCAAGTCTCAGAGAGGGGGGTTGTGGAGATGATTACTATTCTATCAACTTAGTCTTCCTGTGTGTGTGTGTGAGTGGGGGGAGAAGGAAAGAGAAAGAGAAGGAGGGAGAGAGAGAAAGAGGACTAGAGTACGTAATAGAAGCGGAAAAGATCATTGCTCAAAGCTACAAGCATGTATGCATTCACTGATACACACACTCAATCGTGATAATATTATAACTCGAACACCCGTGGAACAATCGTCTTGAAAGCCAATTTGTTCGGACAGTTCTTTGAGGTAATTAATGATGGTTACTGAGGGCCTAACCCCAGGAGATGAAACCTGTGCAGTAGTCAGCAGGGCGAAACATGGTTGAAAGGAGATACCCCTAGCCACAGGCTGGCAGGCAGACTGAGGTTACTTCCCCATGGCAACGCAGATGTTGGTTTTGATAGCAGCATCACCAGAGGCCATAGAGCAGCACTCTCTACTCCAGCCACCATTTACCTGAGGTATCTGCTACACTTACTCCACCCTTAGCTACCTGGCTCACTTTGACCTACACATACATCGAAAGACATCTCCTCAGAGAGCTGGCTGCATGTATATATCCAAATGAACATCTACCTAAGGTAGCTACATACGTACATACGTTCGTAAAAGCTGGCTGTGTATCCAACGATGTGCGTCAGTCAGGCACTGGTTGCAGTTGGTTGGTATATTAGCCTAACCATACATCAATGCTTTTCTTGATTGCTTTTACTGAACTTTAACTAGTATTGAGCTCCACCGATGGCAATGGCTGTATTTTTAACAAAAAGATGCTTGAACCATTATGTATAATCATCCAAAAAACGTTATTACCGTTTTAGCTATTGAAGGAAGGACCGAACACCACTTGTCACACATTCACTCAACAAAAGGCCAAACCATGCATGATTATACTCTGTTAGTGAAGGAAGGGGGGGTTAAGATAGCCTCCCTGTTATAGTATGCAGAGAGAGGGGAGAGGGTTAGTGTGGCTTGTGGCATTGCTCTCCTCAAGTGGTCCTGGGCAGAGTCTGCAAACATGTGGTTGCTCCAGCAACCACAGGTCCTTGCCTCAGCCTCCGCCTCAAAGCCTGGGTTAAGTGCCCAAACAGTTCCCCAACTAGACAGCCTTTGAATGGTGTGCACTGCCATGGCCTCTATGATACCTGCTGGGACAGTACGTAGCTCTCAGCCTAGTTTCGCATACTCAGCATACTCAGTGCACCTGTCAGTGCACCTGTCAGTACACAAACATTGATGACGCCTTTCCTGAGAAATCAAAATTAAAAGGAAGCTGAGAAAATAATGAAGTTAAAACTATGGGGGGAGGTTATATATAAACTGAAAGCAAGTTAGTGGATCTTCCAGGAAATTGGGAGAGGGGTCTCAGATGGGACTGCTGACCAGAACATGATAGCTAGCCTCCCGCTGCTTACTACCTTGCATGTCCCAGACATTGCCTGAATGGACTGAGCTGAACCAGAAAGTAGATTGCTGGGTAAATAGAGAACAATGATACCGTGTGAACCATCACTGAATGGCTTTGGATTATATTTCCCATAGCGTGGCAGAATCATGTTACTATATACCATTTCTTCTCTCTCCTTTTCAATCTTATCCTGGCATGTGGATAGAGCAAGAAGTACTACAATGCAAGCACTTAACACACTCAGTAAAACTTAGTTTTGTTTGTTGAGCGAGTACTGTAGCCATGCGTATCTAACCTCGCAGGGATAGAGTACAATGCAAGTATACTTAACACACTCAGTAAAACTTAGTTATGCTTGTTGAGCGAGTACTGTAGCCATACGCATCTAACCTCGCAGGTTTACAGTAGCCCACAAGACAGTTTCGGCAAAAGAACTTCACAACTTACGCCTCCACAATAGGTCCACACACTTGGTCGCCAACAAAGTACAGCATCCTCAGGAAATGGCAGAGTACAATTTATTACCCCTGGGCGACCTAAGTAGGTATACCTACTATTGATGAATGTAGGTAATGTATGGTAGAGTATGAGGGTGGATGAAGAATGGAAAGGAAGTAGCTTCTGCAGTGTCAGTCAAAACTACGGCGGATCTTAGTATTATTTACTATGACATTACGATATACATATGGCATACGTAGTGTAAGTGAGTAGATTGTTCAAGTCTTAGTCACTACCGGTGTTAAGTCCATGGACGTCAGATCACTACTAGAAGTAACTCATGCATTTATTCATTCATACATGTGATTGCCTTTTGTATAACTTACACTTCCTTACAGTATTATATCTTTATTCTGAGAGAACGATTTGTATTGCAAAGTGTGTGCTTACATAAGAACACAGCGAGAGAATGAAACAGCTTCAGAAAGGGGGAAAGATGAAGAAGGAGACATGGAGGAGAGGTACTGACTGACTACAAAGGCACCACTCCCTGAATATGACTAAAAGACGTTATACACACACTTTCCGTTTCAAACAGGAAAGAACTCTTCCTGAACTTGCCAATCTCTGAAAGAAGAATCAGCACAGAAGGTTTTAGAGATGTTTCTGTATCTCTCCCTCCCTTACCCTCCCTCTTCTCTCCTCTCCTCTACCAAAGACACACGAGTGAAGCGAGCCCACCTATCTAGTCGTCTGAACGCGAACCTTTTCTATGTGCGGGGACTGCCATATACCGTAACGTTATACGTGATTCGTGAAACACACGAAAAATCCAACTGCTCTTTTTTCCGGTAACCCTTTTTCGCTCGCCAAAAATTTTGTAGCATTCTTCTAGTACTGTCTGTAGCAGCCCCCAGGGAGCTGTTTACTTCATGGCCCTGACAAAAGGAAGTCTGGGAGTTGAGAGGAAGTCCAGCTTCACTCAGCAGGATGCAGCCTGGGTGAGCTGGCCTGGAGGCAGACACTGCACCTCCCACACACCACCACCACCCACCAAGTCCCACCAGTTTTTTGAGAGGCCCAAAATCAACACATTGATACTACTTCATAGTGTGTTTGTGTACTTACTCCACTACAATGTAGAATTTTCTTCTTGATAATAATGTAGTTAGCATCATTAATGAGTGGCAACAAGTCTCAATGACAACATCCTGAGGATGCCAGCTCTTAACGACGTATAATCAACAGAGGATAAAAGCAAAGTTACCTTGCAACAGTGGCTAGGACCTATTGAGTTTGGGTCAATGCTTATCCTTTATCTTTACACTATTTCATCTGGGTTTTTCCACAATTTTAATTAGCAGCACCTGATCCTGTGGCTCACCTAAGCATTCTCTCTGTTGCTAATGATGGTGCAATATGAGTTACGGCACTAAGGTCACGTCTTTCACTCACTCGGCTTCTCGTGCTTCAGTTACATACACTTTAGACAGGAGACAGAATTATTATAGTGAGTGTGAACATATGTAGCCTTGGGAGGTGTGTACGTAGGTATAATATCTATGTGTGTGCTGTGCACTAGACATCGGGGTGTCCCTGTAAACCCTTTGCTAACCACCAGATGCTGTTTCTACTAATGCAAGGCTACACTGCATGCCTGCACGAAAGGAAGTCTCTGTACTACAGCAAACAAAATCTCCATTTTTTTGGGTTAATGTGTGGGTAAAGGTATTATAACCCAAACTATGCAATTATAGACTCTACTTTTTGTTGAAAAACCACTCTTGTATCCACATAGTAATGCAGCAATTTGTCATGGGCTTGAAATGTTCGATTCCATGGCGCACACTTACTTGCATGCTGGGGAATTGAGTATTATACACCTAGTGTAGTCTGTAACGTGTGTCCCAGGGGGTTCCTATTGTGCCACCCCCTCAAGTCAGTATCTAGCTGGCATCCATAAAGGAGCGCTGGCAACACATACAGACAGCTGGACCATATACCCCACCCACTCATGTGTAGCTAGGCACGCTGTGGACTATGATCTCACTCTCCCGGCCATGGAGAGGGGGTGGTAAGTATTCCAGACTGAGGTAAGATCCTTTGTATTGTGAGGTAATTCATGACAATGACAGTGAGTAGGTTCCTGACATTAGATCCCAACGCCCACTCCAAGCGTACTAATGTGGTGGTGTGGAGCAATCCACTTATACCTGCAACTAAGGAAGCCGATGCAGCAGAGTCTAACACCATAGACTTGTTTTTCTTAAGCACTCACAAAAGTATGAATCAGTGGGCGCAACGCAAGACAAGTGCATAATACCTACTCTCTAAACCACGAAACGCAAAGCGCTCTAATTACTGAGCCACGCTGGATTCACACATGCATCATATAATACATCAGAACACTAATACTGAGCCATTGCATTTGTTTCACATTCTTATAGCATTCGCAGAAGATAATACCTCTCCTAGAAACTCACTGGGTGACGTAGGTAAAGTATTGTATACACAGCAAATGTACAGCAGTGGTAAACAGGAACCTCTCTGGTCACACCCATACAAATGCTGTGGGAATCCATTAGCTAACCCTTTAGGCTAATCCGGGTAATAGGGGATTGAATGCTCCAGCCCACCACTGCCTCTTGTACAAAATATGATACTGGAGAAATACTTGGCAAGATTGAGAATTGGAAGTAGTAAGTAGCTTTTTGTAACAATAGGGATTCAGACTGCTATTGAAATCTGTCTATCTCTTATCATTTGTGTATGCTGGGTCCAGTTCCAAGTTTTGGTACCAAAACACTAAGCTGTGTTGACTTGAAACTGTACGGGATTTATCCCAGCACATGTGTGAATCATTATTACGTACTTGGAGTAAAGAAAATGGAATAACAACGAACATAATGTGTAAAATTACAGTGTTGCTGCAATTACTATGGCTACTACTTCCTGTATATAGCTTCTTTTTCAGATTACTGACCAAGTGCTCTACATACACGAATCAGTACTTTTATGCCTCTAAACACGTAACATAGGAGGCACACTCATAAACATTGCATAGTTTAGCTTCCCACAACTTCTTGCTTGTCGGCAACGCAGCAGCCAGGGTCTACTTGTACAACTACAATAGACGGACGATTTGTTTACAAACACCAGCAGTTCCCCCGACAGTGGCTGATGATACCGTGATACAGTAGCCATGACAGCCATGTAAACACTGGTGATAGGTGCTTTGATCACTCCTGACAAAATTAAAATGCTGACACTGCAATAAACAGACTCTTCCTCCAAGGTCCTGGGTGAACCTCTCTCAAGATAATGTGCTTTGGACGCAAGTAAGAAAACATATCAGACACAGAAAGTGAATATATAGCCAATAATGCACAGTTACTGATAAAACGTATGCTGCACGAATAGAAGAGGACAAAAGTATAAAGTTTCTATTCTGGTCACCAACTATAATTGGAAACAGTGTGATTGATGTAAATTAGGTAACATGTGCCTCTCTGTACTTCACTAATAATGTCTGTAGTTTCTTGTACAGTAAAATTTACCATTAAGTTTAATGTGTATGCTTAATAATACTCTAAAGCATTTCCGAGAAATTGAATATCACCAGCTAATATGGACTAATAAACAACTCCGCTGGATCATACAGTATATGTTAATGGTAGTGTTCTCTTTTAATGTTGCTGTAAGAATGAAATTACAGTGTCTCGCTATAATACCATGTTTGGAAAATAAAATCACCAGTCAGTGGCGTAACGTTAAGATATGGTATAATAATTACGTCTACTTATTAGTGGACCAGACAAAACTGAAAACCGTTCTATGTTTGGGTTGCCAAGAGCGACACACGTTGTGGTGGCCTCAGTCACTTGCCAGGCAGCCTGCATTCATTGGCCACTAGACAGCCAAACGACAGCTGTTGGTCACGGCCAATTTTGGTGGTTAACTGGGCCTTTCCCACACTAACCATGACTGCTCCTCCATACCCAGCCCATGGGCACACATGCATGCTTATTGAGATGATCCTGCAGCCAACAACCGCACCCCCCAATTTTACACAGCACCCTCATCAACTAATGATACATATACACACATGGTGTAATCCCTCCTTGCTTGCACAGACACCGAGCTCAAGCGCACCACCATACATTCTTACCTGTGAATACGCATGCGCATACTAAGAAACGTGGGAGGGGCTCAGCTGTTGCCCGCGAGATTGGCGGGAAGATAGCGTCTCGGTACGCGCGGTTGGGGTGAAAGTAAACTTCTCGACATGAACGTCGCCATCGACTTCAGCCAGTTCGCCTACAGGCCCACTAAGACTCGTCTCACGCTCTACGAGCATCGCGACAAAGAAAACCTTCCTTTGTCGCCAGAAGATTCGCGGATGTCTCCCACTCCAAATAACGCCACCCCGATTCCGAGCCCGCGCGGTGCACGCGATACACTGCGAGGAGGTAATGAGAGGCTGACAGCAGTACCTGAGACTCCGGACGAAGAAACTTCGTCCTATTGTGGCAGAAGACGCCGCAGAATGCGCTCAGCCGCGGATAGAGAGAGGAGAAAGAGACGACGTTTGAGCAGCTCTTCCAGCAACGAAACTGAAACTGAAACTGAAACTGAGTCACGTGATTCCGAGAGGGTCGGCGGTGCGCGCGGCAGTGGAAGGCTCTTTGGGCCTCTACACGTGAGCAAGAGGCGAAAGAGGAGTGTAGAATTGTCACTCTTTGAGTATCGGGCAAATTGCAAGTCACCTCCCAATGTTCGCGGGAGTGAAGAAAACCATGAAGAAGAAACGACAGGAGATGAAAGTTCAAAGGTCACAGATTCACCGTCACCTGCTACTAAACCAGAACGTCGTGCGATACTAACTCTCGAGTCAGATTCTGCGAGTGAATGCGAAGAGTACGAGAGGCGCGACACAACTCCTCCCTGTCCCTTACCGTGTGATGATGGTTGGTTGACGTGCAGAAGAAAGCCAGGGAAAGGACTACAGCAGATGGCCCATTCTCTCACCACCAGCAGTAGTAATAATTGTAGGAAAGGGAGGAGTAGGAAGACAGGTGGAACAGGAGAGAGGAAGGAGGGTAAACTGGGAGAGAGAAGGGAGGGAGGGCCAGGAGAGAGCAAAGCAGGAGGGATGAGGCCAGGGGATAGTAGGGAGATGGATAGTCTGAGGCAGCTGTTCCCTCAGTACAGTGATATGTTTCTGAGAGATAGACTAAAGGAGTCTACCAGTATGGACGAGGCCGTGGCTAGCATCCTGGCATCTGATGGCAAGTTTGCACTACATTGGCCATTCGACTTGTACACATAATTTCCATCTCTATATCTTGTTTACTGCAAGTCATACATACCTTCCTTTACCTGTATTCACCTCCATCCCTCCCTAGCATTTACTTTTGTATTACCTCCTTCCCTCCTCCCTCCTCTGTCCTTATTCCCTCCTCCCTCCTCTGTCCTTATTCCCTCCCTCCCTCCTCTGTCCTTATTCCCTCCTCCCTCCTCTGTCCTTATTCCCTCCCTCCCTCCTCTGTCCTTATTCCCTCCTCCCTCCTCTGTCCTTATTCCCTCCTCCCTTCTGTCCTTATTCCCTCCCTCCCTCCTCTGTCCTTATTCCCTCCTCCCTCCTCTGTCCTTATTCCCTCCTCCCTCCTCTGTCCTTATTCCCTCCTCCCTCCTCTGTCCTTATTCCCTCATCCCTCCTCTGTCCTTATTCCCTCCTCCCTTATCTGTCCTTATTCCCTCCTCTGTTCCTCCTCCCTCCTCCCTCCTCTGTTCTTATTCCCTCCCTCCCTCCCCCTCACAAACGCAGGTCCTCCAGACTCTCCCAAGAGGCGGACTCAACCAAAATGTCGCAGGATTCGTCTCCTCTCTGACTCACAGTCTACTAGCACCGACAGTGACGATGACCTTCCTGATATAAAACTTACCCCAACAGGTTAGTGCGTTAAAAATTTTATTCATTGAATGACTAGCATGTACAGTTGAATCTAGTAATTAGCAGGAAATAGCTGTATTGATGTTTATTAAATACCTGGGGATCTTAAAGTAATATACAGTTAGGTATTTCGTGTTAGTTTTCACTGAGCGATCAATAACTGCCTGCACACAGAGAAGAGAAGTAGGAGAGGCAGACGGAGGCTGGATGATTCACTTGACGAAGAGAAACACTCTGTGCTGCCTCTTGCAGCTCGCAGCATCCCCGCACTTTCCTCCGAGTCTTCTTTGAGTGAGTCTGAGACCATTGGGGAGGAGGGGGAGGGGTTAAAAGGAGACTCAAAAGAAGACAAACTATCATGTCTCAATGATAGATCTACCAGAAGTTTGGGCAAAACAAAAGGTGAGCTACTGGTGTACCCCAGTCGAGAAGTATGGAGTGTTTTTCAAGGCACAATTGCTTGTTAACCTTCGGCGCGCATGCGCAGCGAGGGTTACAGTACTTGGGTCTGTCTGTGTGTCTGTCAGTCTGTCTGTTACTCTTCATCTCACTTCTCGAGTGTTTTTTCGTCTCACAAAGGATACCACCTACTGAACGGGCAATGAAGGTCAGAAATTTCGAACGGTTTTCTCTGAAACTGCTCCGTTGCAAAGCTAGAGCGCGAAAAAACCAATATGCAAATATACAACGGTCTGATCGATCCGCGTGTCCTGCGTACTTCGGAGGCACCAGAAGATGCAACGCAGGGCGTGTATCGCCTCTCGCATGCTATCTAGTAGTGTAGTTAGCCCGCGTCAGACTCTGCGCGAGATGGCAATAGACCACGAGTAACAGCTAAAACTAAACCCAGCCCATCAATTAGTGGTACGGCGCATGCGTTTACTTACGCGAGCGCGTCATAGTGCGCCGAGGGTTTGCACTTCAGTGCTTTTCATTTTGTAATGGTCTATCTACTGCTTATTTTACTACTATAGATGTATAGCAACAATCTTTTCCACATACACCTAATCGATTGAGTCCATACATGCTCGTAATAATCCCTTGCTGTACTTCATGAGGGTCAAGCACAATCAAACATAATTGCTGAGCAATGAGAGACCAACTAGTCATCTAAATTGTTGTAGGTAGTCCTGTGCTCTTCATGCCAATATGCATTGTGTAGTTTATATGCTAGACAGTTAACATCATCCCAAATAGTCACATGCAAGCAAGCAATGTCATGCAAACATCACTGTATACATGTATACATACATACATCGTTACTCAGGAGAGACACCATACCTGGAGGAGCTGGAGGGAGATCTGAGCGACTTCTCAGAGGAGGAGGAAGATTTCTCTGAGCGCAAGAAGGCGGCCATATTGTCTCTGCTGGACGGGATATCGCTGGAAGAGGCCCAGGCAGTCCCTGGGCTCTCTGAGAACAAAGCTGCACTATTGCTGGCCCAGAGACCTTTCAGCAGCTGGGAACACCTGGTTAGTGGACCCTGCCCTAGTTCGTATTGAGTAGTGACTCTAGTTGCACTTGTTTTAAATCCCTAGCGGAATTCTTCTCATCATTTTGTGACAGTACTTTATACAAGTGGCCTGTTTGAAGCAAAATTTTTAACTGTAGCTACTTCTCACCATTTCCGACAACGATATGTATACATGTGTCTTCCATAGACTGAAGCAGTGGTATCTGTCAAGGGACTAAGTGAAAAGGTGAGCATAAGGATCGAGCAAGTGGTGTCGTAGTGTGTGGATATACGTGTACGTAACTCTCACAGAATATTTGAGAAAATGTTTCATTGTTAATGACCCTTTCTCTCCGGCCCACACATGCGTGAGCGCGAGCGCATGCGGCCTATGTGTGCGGAGAGCCGAACCTGCACTTGACTGGATGTGATTATCGCATGGGTTATTTACCTGAACTATAGGCGCTGTGAACCATGAATATCACTTAAGGGAGCCGCTCCAATGATATATTCGTGGGAAACAACCAAGTGTATACTGTTTTGGTAGACCCTCTCTTGGCGTGTGGTAACACAGGCACGGACCGGAGAAAGGGTCTGCATGCTAGATGGAAAAAAAAGGTGATTAAAAGGTGAAATTCCACAACCAAATGTTATTTGGATTCTCGTTGCCCAATACCTGATGACTGCTAATGGTCGAAGGACAGCTCTCTATAAGGGGCACTTGGTTCTGCGCCATACTGTGAGTAATATCATGTTCTGCAGTGTCTGGAGGGGTGTGGCAGACTGCTGAAGGAGAGGGAAATGATGGCAGACCTCCTGTCCCAATGCCAGGCCATCTCCTCCTCCATTCAGAACCTCGTGAACCAAGTCCGCCTCAAAAAGGTCTGGGGAGGATTTTTGATTCACTGAATGATTAGCGTCTGCGAGCGATGGACAAATGGGCATTGTTCTTTTGTATGTTATGTGATCAAAGAATTTTCGATTTTGTAAAAATTTTGCATGTCAAGAGGATATGATGGAGAGAGATACATATACTTTAGTGACATGTGACAGGTACAACTGTGTTCTTATAGTGAAATCACGGCATATGTCATTTCAGGAAGAGCAAACAGAGCAGCAGCAGCAGTCACAAGAGGACTCTGCCAGTGACGATATTGATTTCCCTCTCCCGTCCATGATATCCCCCGGGTGAGCCTCTTTCTGAGCTTCATGGTGTGAATCTCATCATCCCACTGCCATTGAGGATGCATTAACGGCAATGTGGTAGTATTTAAAGGCTAAATTTAGAAACTGGGCCCTATTGTTTCATTCTATCTCTACTAACATTTATAAATTTAGCCCTTATGTACTGACACATTCCCTTGGTAAGGTTACTATTTGTATGAGACCTGCTATTTGACATAACTTCATCATGAATCACTTCTTCATGCGCCATAAACACTCCTCCTCCTCCTCCTCCTCTTCCTCCTCCTCCTCCTCCAGACTGGTCCTGAAGCCATACCAGAAGGTGGGGGTCAGCTGGCTTTCTCTGCTCCATTCTCAGAACCTCAATGCCATTCTTGCCGATGAAATGGTAACCTACTTGGTAGTCCTATCTCCCTATCCATCCGGAGTACTTTCCTTCTCTTCCATCTACCCTCTATCGACCACCTCTGTTTTCAGGCTCTTGTGTTACACCTTGAACTGTGTTCTGAAGTTGAATTAAAAGTACTAAACATTCTCTTCCACTCGTGTGCCGGTAACCTTTTGGTAAAGGGGGAAAGTGCATTATGCAGTGTATACATTAATATATACATTAAATGTGCTATGATACATTCCTTCTCTCTTTGCCAGGGTCTGGGAAAGACAATCCAGACTATAGTGTTTCTGTCTCATCTCTATGAGCAAGGCTGGAAGGGACCTCATCTTATTGTTGTTCCTTCCTCTACCCTCGGTGTGTTTGCTTTGGGAGGATGTAGTACCGTTTAGTAGCTAACACTGATTCTTTCAGACAATTGGGTGAGAGAGCTGAATTGCTGGAGTCCATCTCTCAATGTTATCACCTACTGGGGTGAGTCCTTCACTGCATCTCACCTGGTTTGTCACACCACTGGCTTGAAGATTTTGCCAAAAAGCTTACACGCAGCCCATATTACGTGTACAGTTGAACATCCTAATAATGGACACGTTGGGCCCGGGCATTTTGTCCTTCATAGGGAAGGTTGTCGTCTCTTCAGAAAATATGAACGTGAATGTTTTGGACCTCAAAGTGTGTCCTTTATCGAGACCTTTTTTCTTTTTTTCCTTTTTTCGGACTGTCCCCCCGGAAGTTCTAGTGTATTGTTGCACAGTGCTACACGACCCAGGATGTGGCAGCTTTTGCACACATGTTCACAACAATATACTTAATGCACTGACATTATGCATTCCATATTATGCAATGTTATCCCTTCATTCAGGGAGTTTGGGTGAGCGGTCAGGCATGAGACGTGACATGCTGTCTGGGGACCTCCAGGGCTACTATGATGTCATTCTTACAACGTAAGCTCTTTAGCATATGGAGTTCGGGAGTGGGGAAAACACTTAGTCCTGTACTAAGAAACTCAGAACCACCTCAGCTCAGTTGTATGGCCACATTACTCTTATAAAGACCACGAAATGCAAATGCAGAACTTGGAAAGAGGGACACACTGGGACTGTTAGAGTTTCCCTTTGTACAGAGATGTTCTTTAGAACGGTTCGATGATTGAAGCATTTGTCCTTCGTAGAGAGGTGTCTTTTATTCTAAGTGTCCATTACAAAATGTTAGAAATGGTGATGTTTGCTTGTCTGTAGGTACACGATATGCATTGGGCGTGCAGAGGATCGTCAATTTCTGAGGAAGCTGAAGCTAAAGACACTGGTCCTGGACGAGGGACACATGCTTAAGAACATGTCCACCCTCAAGTACAACCACCTCATGAAGATACAGGTGAGATCTCCACACGTATTTCACATATTTTACATCTTCTCACTGATTGTCAACTTCAAACTGCAAAAGCCTCATTGCGAATTAAATGCAGATACATCTACAACAGATTGCAACGAGCATTATACTCGGGCGGGCGGGCGGCCGGGCTCAGGTTTTGCGCCTGACGCACTCTAAAACAGTTAGACGACAAGTCATGGAAACCACACGGTTTGAGAAGCCTCGGCCTCCTAAATCCTATGGCTTGTCCTCTAACTTGAACTAACTCCCCCCTGTTAATCCGGCAGGCAGAGCGGCGGCTTCTGCTAACAGGGACTCCTCTCCAGAACAACCTCCTGGAGCTGATGTCTCTGCTCAGTTTCGTGATGCCGTCCGTGTTCCGTCCCTACATCCAGCCCCTCCAGTCTGCATTCCGGCACAGCAGACACACAGCCGAGGTCAGCGACTACTACCAGGACCAGGTACGGAATGTGGTCATACCGTACAACATGGTACACTGTTAGGAACGGGTATATACACTGTTAGTATACCTGGAGCAGGTTAGTTGGAGTATGGAATGGTAACATCTTTTATTTCACTGCACCTATCCCTATATCACTCACATTTTGCTATCCCCCTAAATATGGGTGTCAATGATTTTGCATTTGTTGTAGGCACATGGGTGGAAAAATAGACAAACCAACTATCCTTAATACTTTGACTACAGTTGGAGTATGGAATGGTATCATCTTCTATCTTGCTGCACCTATCCCTATCTCGCCCAATTTTCGCTGTCCCCCATAAATAAGGGTGTCGACAATTTTGCATTTGTTGTACGCACATGGGTGGAAAAAGAGACAAACCAACTATCCTTAATACTTTAAGTACGGTTGAAGTTTGGAATGGTAACATCCTATATATCGCTGCACCTATCCCTATCTCATCCAAATCCCCCCCTTAAATAAAGGTGTCAATGATTTTGCTTTTATTGTTGGCACAAGAGTGGAAAAGCAGACAAACCAACTATCCTTATTACTTTGACTACGGTTGGAGTACGGAATGGTATCATCTTTTATTTCACTGCACCTATCTATGGGCCTATCCCTATCTCACTCAAATTTTGCTATAATTATCACCCTAAATATGGGTGTCAATGATTTTGCAATTGTTGTAGGCACATGGGTGGAAAAAGAGACAAACCAACTATCCTTAATATTTTGACTACGGTTGGAGTATGGAATGGTTACATCCTATATCTCGCTGCACCTATCCCTATCTCACCCAAATTTCGCTGTCCCCCCTAAATAAGGGTGTCAACGATCTTGCATTTGTCGTAAGCACAAGAGTGGAAAACAAGACAAACCAACTATCCTTAATACTTTGACTACAGTTGGAGTATGGAATGGTAACATCCTATAATCTCGCTGAACCTATCCCTATCTCACCCAAATTCCGGTGTCCCCCCTATATAAGGGTGTCGACAGTTTTGTATATAGGCACAAGAGTGGAAAAAGAGGAAAATCAACTAGACTACCGTACTTAGTGATAAACATAGTACTTTGTTAGTGTACGTATTGTACAAGATCTATACACCTAAAGCAGGTATGTAATATGTACTGTACAACATACTGGTACAGTTATTTGTTAAGTGCACTTATCGATGACAGACAGTGATTTTTGTCTTTTAGGTTTCAAGGGCGAAGGAGATAATGTGCCCCTTTATTTTGAGGAGGTTGAAAAAAGAGGTACATGTGGTTTTAGTGTGTCCGTGATATGCTCATCACATCCACGGTGCTATCAGGTCCTTCACCAGTTGCCAAGAAAAGTTGAGAGTGTTAAACATTGCGCTTTAACCCCGGAACAGTCAGAGTTGTACCACAAGGAAGTGGAATTGGGGAGAAAGGAGATGAAGAATGGCAGAGGTGAGTGAGGGAGGGGGAGGAGATGAAGGAATAAAGATGACTAGAGGATGAAGAAGGGGGGAGGTAGAAAAAGGAAAAAGATACTTCACTCACCATATGCCACGTAATATGCAGGTAAGGAGCTGGTCAAGTCAATGTCTGTGTTAACACAGCTCCGCAAGGCAGCCAACCACCCTCTCTTGTTGCGCTCCCACTATTCAGATGATGTCATTGCTTCTATGTCTACTGAAATTCTGAAGGTTGGGATTAATGTTACATTGTATTTTTTGTCCTTTCCAAATAAGGTGTGAGAGTGTTTATAATCATGGTTCACAAATGCTTGCCTTGAAAAATGCCCTAGTAGCTAATAGATGAAGGGGCCACGGGGCTTTAGCATTATTTTATCATTACCCTCGGCGCGCATGCACAGCGAGGGTACAGTAGTTGGGTCTGTCTGTCTGTCTGTCTGTTTGTCTGTTTGTCTGTTACTCTACATCTCACTCCTTGAACGTCTGTTCGTCCCAGAAATGATACCATCTACCCAACGGGCGACGAAGGTCAGAAAATAAAGGCGGTTTTCTCTGAAAATGCTCCGTTGCAAAGCTAGAGCGCGAAAAAGCAAATACACAACGGACGGGATGGCTTACCGCAGTCGTGCTCTGCGTACTTCGGAGGCACCAGAAGATGCAACGCAGGGCGTGTATCGCCTCTCGCATGCTATCTAGTAGTGTAGTTAGCCCGCATCAGACTCTGCGCGAGAGACCACGAGTAACAGCTAAAACTAAACCCAACCCATCAATTAGTGGTACGGTGCTTACGCGTGCACGTCACAGTGCGCCGAGGGTTTGCACTTCAGTGCTTTTCATTCAGAGTTGCAGTAATGCACACTCACTTACACACACAACTTGTATGCTGTGCATAAAGCAGCTAGAAGGAAACAGCTTACCTAAAACTCACACTTTCTCCTTTTGTGCAAAAGGAGCTCAGCCAATACCGCAAGTGCAAACCAGAAGTCATCTGGCGCATGCTAAATGTTAACCGCGTGCGTGTGCAAGTAACTATTCACCCTATTCCCATACCGTTCCTTCTCTTGGCAGGAGCCAGAGCACCGTGATGCAGACGCTACGCTGGTAGCTGAAGATATGGCCGTCATGTCTGATTTTGAGCTGCACAACCTCTGTGTCAGACATGAGGTAGTGTCATATTATGCATGCAACGTCTGTGGGAATAACTAGTAAAACATTGGGCCTAACTTAGGCCAACTAACATTTCTGATCTTTATAAACCATATAGTCTTTGACTCCAATGTTAATTGAAAAATAGGGCCTACACTTTCATACTTTTAGAAAAACTGTGGGGAAAGGACAAGCTAACTCTTCCTAATACTTTAGCTATAGCTATGAATAGATGATGCCATGGGGATGGCTATATGTAGGCCCCATTCTGCTTGCCCGTTTACTGCATCACTGACACAGTAGATTGATAATTGACATAATATCATGGTTTATCACTACAGTCACTGGTGCAGTACAGACTGTCCAATGGCCTAATCAAAGAGTCAGGAAAATTGAAGTATCTAGAAAAGAAGCTCGGAGATTGCAAAGAACAGGTTCTCTCTTTCACTTGATGTTTAATTCAGGACACCTCCACTTATATAATTTTTTTTCTGGATAGGGAAGACGAGTCCTGATCTTCAGTCAATTCATAATGATACTGGACATTTTGGAGGCGTGGCTGCAACTTCTAGGCCACAGCTATCTCAGATTGGATGGAAAAACACACATGAACGATAGGTGACCCTTACGTAACGTGTTGACGTGTTAGAATGAGAAACACTAAAGTGCAAACCCTTGGCGCACTGCATGCGCGGTACCGCTAATTGATGGGCTGGCCCTATAGTGTGCGTTTATACTCGTGGTCTCCATGCTATAGCTGGCGGAGAGTCTGACACGGGCTAGCTATGCTAGTGAATAGCATGCGGGAGTCGATACACGGCCTTAGTTGTGACTTCTTTTGCCTCCAATGCAAACGGATCAGGTCGTGGTAGCCCAGTACGATTTTACATATTGGCTTTTTAGTTTGTTTTTCATGGCATATCTCACGAATGCAGTCGTTTCAGGATATCACTTTTTCAGGTTGGCATACATCTAGTTCTGAAGCCGTTGGTATCATTCATGGGCCGCCTCATAGCACATGCGTGCCGAGGGTTAATAAGATGCTGCAGCTAGACTGAATCTTCTTACGTATATTTACATATGTCTTCCTTATGTTTTCACTAAAGTCTTAGATTCACATTTACTGGGCCTCTGATGTAATTTTTTTTCTCCCTATGTGTGTATATGGCAAAAAAATTACAATCCAAAGCAAACATTAAAGTGCAAAAAAATCTTGATAGCTTAGGACTTGTTATGATGTATTGAGACGTTCATAGCCACCCGCATTGTGAGACTGCACTCTTACTCTCATCTTCCAAATGAATTTGGAGCAAGCCACTTTGCACTGGCTGCTCCCCTTGGCTAAGAAAAAAACAACGATGGCTAATACTAAACTGAAGGTTAATGGTCGAAGGCCTGACTCTGTGACTCTTGAATGATTAAATGTATTTGGAATCAGGATCATGTACACCAGAGCTGTAATGATGAGCCAAAAGGTGTCGTTAACGGTATAGCTGTCTGCCTTGTAGGGTCGAGCTAATGCCACAAGCACAGTGAAAACGGTCAAGACAACAGTTGTGTAGGCATAGCTGTTTATCTGGTAAGCCAGCACAATGGAAGCATACACCAGGCCTCTGAGGAGGAGGTAGAATGCTGAGAAATAGCGGAAATCGCGAGTGCCGTTTGTACATTCTTGAAGTGTCCCTGGAAGGTGTCCATGAAGATGTGTAGGAACTGGCAGCTGAGGCCTGTGCGGTTGAGACAGACCTGGAAACAGGAGAAGGGGTAGAGGAACAGGAGGGCCATCGGGAGAAGTGGAAGGTGAGGAGAAAGAAGAGGGCCAGACAGGCATAGGGCAGGTGCTGGCTGCTAAAGTAGGCCACGTCTCCCTGGTTGAAGAGATAGAGCTGAGGGCAGTTGTTGTCCATTTGACGGTACAGAGCTACAGGCAAAAGGAGGTCCACGGACACACTGAGGATCCTGACGTAGGAGAGGAGAGGAAAGTGGCAAAGGCGTCCACTAGTGAGTTACGGATGTTCCACTGTCTGCGAAATCTGATGGAGAGAGACACCAAAGGTTTACAAAGCCAGACACAAGACGAGCATTCCGATCATAACGCAGAACAAGGAAGTAGGAGAGCCCAATGAGTAGAAGAGGGTAGACTGCAGGTATATAGTCCATGCCAAGACATCCAGATTAGTTGTGCGTGGATGGAGGCAAAACGGGAGTGTAAATAAACGGAAAAAGTCCAAGTTCCACATGTCTGGAAATGATAGGAGAGCCTGCGTAAGGTGTTTCTGTGTTGGTGTAAATTTTGACTTGACTGGAAGTACAGTTCCAAAAGCCCTCATGTTAGAAGAATAAGTCACTATCTGAGAAAAGAGGATGAACCCATGCAGTTTTGGGGAAGTGGCACTGATTCTGAAGGTGACGACAAAGACAAAGAAGGCAGTGAGTGGGAGTAGAGAGACTGCAGTGTACTTCCCCCAGTTGCTAGTGGTACAGTTGACACAGGAGAGAGTGTAGGAGTAAACCGGTGGGGCATAGTTGCTACTGCACTTGCCACACATCTGACCTCGCCGCTCGAACCTTGCACAGATCACGTCATTCAGTTTACAAGGGGAATCTACAGTGATACGTATTTTGAATGTGTCAAAGCCCCTGTTACAAGTATAGAAGCATGGTCCAACAAGAATCTGATCGCCATAAGTCATGCAATAGCACTCGTGGAGTGTTAACTGGTAAGGATTGTCGGTGCACACGACCACGTGACTTGCAGTTTCACACTCACATACCCCTGTAGTAATGTTCCTCGCTTGCCAAGGAGGGCAAGGATCATCTCCTTCCACCAGTGTCTGGTTACTAGTACAACTCTGTGAACTTGCTGTCACGTTTTCAAGAATGAGGATACAGAGCGATACAGCTAGTTTCACTACTGCCATTTTTCAATCAGTAAACCTTTGAATGGTCTGTGAATGAACCTCACTATTATTGTAGTGCTGGGGCTTTTGGACCATCTAACACATTTTCACTTTACAGCTTGTTTAGAGATGAAAAATGAAAGTGCATTATCTACTCAATGGTCCATTTTGTGCCAAGAGCAACACTGTAAGTGGGCATGCATGTTTATGCCACTCTCGACTTGTGAACAATCTTCAGACATTCCCCATGAAGGTGCTAGGTATAGTGGTATGGTATGAAAACACTATTTTACGCCAACACGGTTAAGATTACGATAATCACAGGATATTTCCGATCTCACTGTCTTTATCACGCAACGCAGGCAGATGTTGATAGACCAATACAACTCCAGTGACGATATCCTGGTTTTTCTCCTCTCTACTAAAGCTGGTGAGTGTGTTCCACATTTCCTACCTTCCACTGTCTAACCAGACATCTGCTATTACCGTATTTCCCTCCACTGCAGGTGGTCTGGGTATAAACCTGACCTCTGCCAGTGTGGTGGTCCTCCACGACATTGACTTCAATCCCTACAATGACAAACAGGCAGAGGATCGCTGCCACAGAGTCGGCCAGACCAGGTGCAGTACATACAGTGGAACCTGACCCTCTGTCCGAAATAGGGACGACCTCCTCTACTTAAGGAACACTTGTTTCAAACCACATGCTCATACTTATTTGACTTCCGAGATAGGGACGACCTCTCTACAAAGGACACTTGTTTTCAACCCATGCTAATAGTTAGTGTATTATTTGACTTCCGAGATAGGGACGACCTCTCTACAAAGGACACTTGTTTCAACCCCATGCTAATACTTTTGTGTATTATTTGACCTCCGAGATAGGGACGACCTCTCTACAGAGGACACTTGTTTCAACCCCATGCTAATACTTTAGAGTATTATTTGACTTCCGAGATAGCGACGACTTCTCCACATAGTGTCCCTTATTCGGAGGTTCCACTGTATTTCCTAAGTATAATATAAGAAGAAGTCATGATGTTTGTTTCCGTGACTATTAGAGAGGTTGAGGTGGTGAGACTGGTGGGGAGAGACACGGTGGAGGAGGATATTCTGAGATGTGCACAACAGAAACTGAAACTGGAGCAAGACATGACAGCTGGAAGTAGGTTCTTCTGATATTGTGTACACACCGTAAGTGTCAAACCTGCATCATATCGGACACTTTCTAGCTATTACAAACGGTACTACTAAGAAAGAGCTTGATTTCAACAGTGGTACGGCACATAGTAGATTGTAAAGAGTTTTGGCAAGTCTGTGTAATGATTAGGATTAACTCATGGGTTTGTATTGTGTTGTTTTCGACAATAGGTCAGTTGAATAAGACGGACATGGCCTCTCTCCTCGGTCAAGGACTCAAACTGTAGCTCACTCTCACAACTCACCAATCATTAGCAAAACTGTTACTGCATTATTTATTGCGTATAATAATCATCATAAGTTTGGCCACAACGTTAAATGGCGAATTTCGTGTCATAAAAAATCTTGTAAAATTCATGTGTCAAGAATTTGAAGTGTCCAAGGTTACCCCTGCACACAACCTTGCACGCATGTGCGATCAACTGAAAAGGCAGCTGGTCCATGAAATCTATATATATACATGCACTGAAGAAGGGCCCTTGCGTTGCATCATAGTGTGTATAATTCTGCGTTGCGCTGCCTTGCATTGTAGCATAGCGCGTAGATTTCACAGACTAATTGATATGAGATGGTTTAAGGGTGGATTATCTAAGACGAAATGGCATATTGAGAGGAGTGTTTGTCTAGGAGGTGTAGATAGGTGGAGGAGAGTTGGTCGACCTGCTCCATTGTCAGCTCCTGGGCTCTGAGGGTGTGGGGTACTCCCACTCAGGGAGAAGAGGAGGGGGAGGAGGTGAGGATCAGTCGGGAACAGCAGACTGAGAGGGAGAGAGGGAATAGAACAAACACTTGTCAGATGGAGAATGGAGAATGCACGAAAGCACAGCTCTCAAAAGAGCCTGGCTGGTTTAGCATGCATCGCTGGAGCCTGCAATGTGACACGATCCGGTATCAATCATACAAACCTGATATATACCTGATGCGAATCTATAATTATGTCAAAAGTAGTCCTAGGCTTTTACTTAATTCTCCCCACTGGAATTGCTACAGTGCAGTGAACAGTAACTGAGAAGGGAGATCATGGCACATACATAAGTGAGCTGTATATACCTGGCTCCTCTTTTGATGAACTTCCTCCTGAACGTGAAGAGAGCCTTCACAACTCTCTCTAAGGTGAGGTGGTCCACCTTCACCAGTGGGCGGAGTCTCGGGACCAGCTTCAACACCACTGCATCCACCTTAAAATAGGAAAACTATCGCTAAACTTAAGGTTGAGAGGGAGAATGTATAATGTCCAGTCAATAAACTAATTGTGATGTCACCTCACCACATCTTCATTATGTAAACTATTCCAGGCATCACAATCTTCTAGGTAACTCTGGTGTCCGTTGTAAAGTGCTCCCACCTTGGGTGCGGGAGTGAAGACGGAGCCAGGATGGTGAACCCCAGTGGACATGGCAGAGGTTCTGGGTCATGACGGAGAGTCCGACTGCGCTGGGTGTGTCCTGGTGGAGCCACAATACGCTGGAGGGAGGTCACGTGATCCCAATGCTCATCACCAGTTGCCTTTGCTTTACATAGCTTTGTAAGTGCAAATTCTTGCATTAGTGGCCTCACAATTTCACCTGTATATACCTCAGTGGCATGCTATGCATGAACTAACTTCCGGAAAGACTGTATCTCCACGAAAATACAAACTCTATGGAGTGACGGTACTAACCCCCTATGAATTTTGTCGCTGATAAAACATGTGAAAATCGCAGCTTTTCTCCTTGAAAATGTGTTGGTATACTGCCTGAATGTAGTTACAGAGCCCCACCTCAGCGACTTCTCTCTGGAAGGTGAGGGTGAGTATTGACCTGCCGAAGGAGAAGGGACCACGTCCGCCAGGGATCATTGCCACCACTGCAAACAGGAGAGGGATGGAGACATTGAACGGGAGGTTGCCTATCACGTGGAACTCTGGAGGATCTGAAGAGAGAAAGAAAAGCATGGATTAAAAGTCCAAAAACATCAGGTACTGCATCTCTGTTGGGTTCCCTCCTACTACGTTATACAGATGATTGTCAAGCCTAAATCACGTATCACACTTAGTACATGGTCAAACAAGCTAAGGCAAAGTGAAGCAAACAACACAACAACACCCATTGGTATATGCGGTCACAATCTCATCAGATGAGCATATCCATACCATCTTCCCAGTCTCTCTTCTTGACATACTCCTGACAGACGTCTCCATATCCACCTCCAGAGCATCTCCATGAATGATGTCCACCCTACCACCGCTGCCTCTCGTACCAACTGCCAATAAACGATGATAGATGACAGAATAGGGGTTGAGACTGGCCCGCCACACCATACAGCTAAGAGCATACGAGATAGCAACTCTTCGATGTTTTGCAGCGAAGCCTCAGTCCAAGATTGCCACCCCAGTACTTATCTACGTCTAAACTCACTCTTATGTGACTGACTCAATTGTAAAGACACACCTTTTCGAAATGAATGCTGGTCCTGTCCATTTTGTATTTGCTAGAGTGTTTGCTGTGTAGTCCTGTACATCAGATGTTTTCGAGGTTTGCTCTCAGTATCAGGCAAGTCTTTGAATTCAATCTCAAGGTTTTGTGCCCGCACGCGATGTACTACTACCTCTTCTAGTGAGGGGAGGCCAACGTCTGTCTTTCTCAAGGACCACCAGGTGGCTGGCTCTCTGTTGAGGATGAGCGAGTGAGGGCGGCCCAGGACCACCTCACACACCCACGCAGCCCCTCACATCAGCCCTGCCACACCCCACCACTATGTCTACAGTACGTGCGCTTATCAAATTACTGCGCCGCGCGCTTATTAGCGGAATTCGTGACTACTACCACACTCACCAGCATGACATTGAGGTCGAGGAGAAAGTTCTGACTGAGCTGAGACCTGGCTCTCAGTCCGTAGAGTCGTATGATGTCCGCTATGGTGGGCAGCGGAGGCAGTCTCTTCGGGATACGCTCCTCATTACTTGACCGACTCGCCGCTAATGATATAGCGCACGCCTAGATTATTAAACGCATTGCGCGAAAAGTATGCAACCACAGCACATTCCGAACCCCACCCAAAGACCGTTCGACCCTTAAATCGTCTTCCCCATCAGTCTTTTCTGCCTCCTTTTCCCTGCGAGTTACAGACACAACCTGTTTTTCCATATATTCAGAGTGAGTCTTTTTGTGTGTCTGTGTCGCTTTTTCCCTGCCGAACGAATCAGCGGCTAGCGAGCGATTATTTATAAAAGGGGTCGTGTCCGTTTAGCGTCTAAATGGCTGCTAAGTCGTGCCTTGCTGCACCACCCAGCGAGGGCTTGCGTGAAGGTGATTGATAAATGTATATGAAGCCCTTAATCCGGTGAGGAAAAAGTACACTTTTCTTGGTTTACACTTTGGAATGAGTAAAACCGAGATCGAGAGAATTGAAGCAGACCAGTCAGATTCCTTAGCAAATTAAATTGCAGGAAAAGGTGCGCGGCCTAGTCGTGGTCGCTCTGGCTGTGAAAGTGACCTCAGACCAAGAGCACAACAGAAAAATGTATAAAGGAAAAGAGATAAAAGAACCCCTCCAAACGGAAGGGGAGAAAATTTGGAAGGAGAATACTCTCTCGCGTCATCGTTCAAAAACAAGTAGAGTAGAAGATTCAGATGAAGCGAGGAGTAAAGGAAGAGAAAAGGCGAAACGTGATCACGGATCCTTTCCTACAGAGTAACTGTATAACCAAAAGAGAATCCCATGCTATTGATGCCAAGCAAGCATTCGAAAGAAAAATATCAGAAAGAGAAAGAAACGTATAGAAGAGCGTAAGAGTTGCAGAGCATGGTGAAAAGGCTCAGGGCACAGAAACACGGTATTTAAGTCGGCAAAAGAAAGGGAAGAGAAAGTGTTGCCCGTAAAGAAAGCAAAGAATGTCAAGGTTCTACATGTAGATGAAACTTATTCTGATACCTCTCAGAATGAGTATGAAGAGTCACGTACTAGTAGTAGTACGAATGAAGAAGATCAGACTTAGTAGAGACACTATGTAACGAAGCAACGGAAATTGATGACTCTTATTCCGCTGGTGAAGAGTCTTTGGAAAGAAAGAGAAGAAGTAATCGTCATTAGGAAGGGGGAAAGAGACGAAGTTAGATCAAAGCATAGTGTGACAGGGGGAAACGTTACAGCGAGAGTAACGTAAGCCCCATAGCCACTAGCAGCAAAGTCAAAGCAGATCATCAGCACAAAACTCGATGAAGACTCTTATTCTCTAGTGAAGAGTCTCTGAGAAGCGAGATCGTCATAGGAAGGGGAAGAGATGAAGTTAGTCAAAGCATAGTGATGAAGGGGGAACGTTACAGGGAGAGTAACGTAAGCCCATAGCCACTAGCAAGCAAGTCAAAAGCAGATCATCAGCAACAAAACTCGATGGAAGACTCTTATCCATCTCGGATGAAGAGGTCTTCTGGAGAAGGAGATCTCATAGGAAGGGGGAAGGATGAGTTAATCAAAGCATAGTGATGACAGAAAGAGATACAGAAGTACATAAAGTCCAAAAGCAAGTCATCAGATGATCAGAGAGGAGGAAACGATTACAGGAGAGTAATAAGCCCAATAGCCACTGCAGCACAATTCAACAACCAGATCATCAGCAACAGACCTGATGAAGACTCTTATTCTGCAGTGAAGAGCTGTTCTGGAGAAGAAGAAGAAGTAATCGTCATAGGAAGGGAAAGAGACGAAGTTAGACCAAAGCATAGTGATGGAAAATCAGTTTCTACATGAAGTAGGAAGAGATTTGTGGTTTGAAACAGGTACAATCTCTATCATTTCAATCTTTCAGCATCATGACGGTTTTGTCTTATCATTACAGGAAAAGTGTGTCCTGA